TGCTACTTCAGCAGATCAGCGGATCAAATCTCACTGGCTCAAGGTTGACTCAGCCTTCCATCCTTCCGAGGTGGGTAAAATGAGGACCCAGATTGTTGGGGGCAATATGCTATTTAGTATACTGTCTTTGCTGTAATGCCCAGAGTTCTCGGAGAGTGGGCGGCATAGAAATATGAATAATAAAATAAACAAAATAAATAATAATAAATCATCTTCCAGAGCCTCACCCAGGGGTGAAATGCTCCCCGTTTGGACTGGATCGCCCGATCCGGTAGTGATGGCGGCTAGTGGTTCAGAGAACTGGTAGCAAAAATCCCTGCGGGCATCCCCCCCCCATGCCCAGCTGAGTCGCGCGATCATCAGAGCTTTTTTCTTTTACTTTTAAAAGCATTTTTTCGGCTGAAGATGTTGTAGAAAAAATGCTTTTAAAAGTAAAAAAAAAAGTAAAAAAAAAGTTGGCCATGCCCACCCAGTCACATTACCCCACACACACACCAAGTCACGCCCACAGAACCATTAGTAACAAATTTTACATTTTACCACTGGCCTCACCAGATTGCTCTCCACTCTGTAGAATTTCATATGCAAGGCAGGAAATAGAAAGCCACAAACAATATCAATCTCTCAGATTTTTTGTTTTCCTAGGAGGTTTCCTAAGGATCCTCCCTTCATTTTAACCTCAGCAACAACCTTCTAAGGAAGACTGGAAAGCAGCAGTGGCCGAAAGTCCCCCTGGCAGGAGATTGCCCCAGATCCCACACCTTCAGCACTACCCTACTCTGTCTCTGGGGCTCAGAGGGAGTGACCACCCCACATTTCTCCAAGGAGCTTCTGTGGCTGCGGGTGGGCTCACCCCACTCCTTCACATTCATTATCTTCTGGTTCAGTGTATTTGGGAAAGGCAGAAAATGGATAATGTCAGTAATGAGCTTAATTAGCTGTGTTGTGTGTGCCTGCTCAGCCCTTTTTGGGGTTCTACAAGCTGAAACACAAAACTAACCAAATAGGTAGAATTTACAATACCACACTAAGAAACTGCAACGAATGCAGTGTTGATGTTACCAATTTTGGATAATGAAATTTCTGCAAGAAAACAGCCAAGCTCAGGGAGCACCAAGGACCCCTCGGTCCCAAAACACTCCAACTAATCAAATGCACAATATGTGAATATATATTTTTAATGTTTTTATTATACATTTTCCTTTATAATACGTAACATTTTCCATTTCGCAATAACAGTTCCATCTCTTCCAGTCTCTTTCCTTCTCCTTCTCTCCCTTCCCTTCTCCTCTCCTTCCCTCTCCTTCCCTCTCCTTCCCCCTCTCCTTCTCTGTTTCCTACTTTCCTCTCCTCCCTTTTCCTCTCCTTCTCTCCCTTCTCCTCTCTCCTTTTCTCCATTTCCCTCTCCTTCCCTTTCTCCTACTCCTCTCTCCTTCCCCACTTCCCTCTCTCCTTTCCCCTCTCTGCTTCCCTCTTCTTCTGTCTCCTTCCTTCTCCTCTTCCCTCGGCCTCTCTCCCCTCCCCTCCTCTCCTCCCCTTCACTCCACTTCCTTCTCTCCCTTCATCTCTCCACTTCTCTTTCCTTCCATCTTTTTCTTTTCGTTGTTGTATATAAATCTCCATTTCCCTACAAAGTACAGTGCATTTTCCAGGTACCATCTCTTTCAAATTTAACTATACATTTTCTTAATATGTGAATATTTTAGAAAGACCCAAGAAGGAAGGGTGATTTTTTTTCTGATTTTTATCTAATGCAAACTTGATATTATATTGTTGAATTTTGTTTAGCTGGGACCTCAGGTAGCTAATCGATACTATAGTTACATGCCTGATAAGGCAGTAAAGCAGCCACTGCCTTCCCCTCCCAAGATTGGCAATATCTGCATAGTTTTTTTTCTAGCAAGAAAGGAGGCTCAGACAGTGATGTGAAAGGAAACATCCAGCACAGCAAATGGTTAATTGAGAGAAAAAAGGAATTTATTTATTTATTTATTTATTTATTTATTTATTTATTTATTTATTTATTTATTTATTTATTTATTTATTGGTTCAATTTATATGCTGCCCTTTTCCGGAGACTCAGGGCGGCTTACAATGTGTTAAGCAATAGTCTTCATACTATTGTATATATTTTATTTTTTTATTTAATTTATATACCGCCCTACTCCCGAAGGACTCAGGGCGGTGAACAGCCACAAGATAAAAGTACATCATACAAAAGTACATCATTTAAAAGTATATTAAATAATTTTGGCCCAAAAAACAAATTTAAAAACACCCAATTTGTATAAAATTTAAAAGCAAATTAAAAGGGAGAGTCAAGCCAGACCAGCCTGCTGGAATAAAAATGTTTTGAGGGTGCGGCGGAACATGCGTAAATCTGGGATCCTCCATATCTCCGGGGGGAGCTCATTCCAGATGGCAGGTGCCCCTACAGAGAAGGCTCTCCCCCTGGGGACCGCCAGTCAAACTGTTTGGCCAACGGCACCCTGAGGAGCCCCTCTCTATGGGAGCGTACTGGTCGGTGAGAGGCTACTGGTGGCAGAAGGCGGTCTCGTAAGTACCCTGGTCCTAAGCCATGGAGCGCTCTAAAGGTGGTGACCAAAACCTTGAAGTGCATCCGGAAGACCACCGGGAGCCAATGCAGCTAGCGCAGGAGGGGAGTCACATGGGAGCGCCACGTCGCTCCCATAACCACCCGTGCGGCTGCGTTCTGGACCAGCTGGAGCCTCCGGGTGCTCCTCAAGGGGACCCCCATGTAGAGAGCATTACTGTAGTCCAGGTGTGAGGTGACAAAGGCATGAGTGACCATACGTAATGAGTCCCGATCCAGAAAGGGACACAACTGGCGAATTAGGCGGACCTGATAAAACATCCTCCCGGCCACAGCTGTCAAATGCTCTTCTAAAGACAGCCATGAGTCCAGAAGGACACACACGTTGCAAGCCCTATCTGTGGGGGCCAACGACTCGCCCCCAATAGTCAGTGATGGCACCAACTGACTATATCGGGACGTCGGAAACCACAGCCACTCGGTCTTGGATGGGTTGAGTCTGAGTCTGTTTCTCTCCATCCAGATCCGCACAGCCTCTAGGCACCGGGACATCACTTCAAGGGCATCATTGGGGTGATCCAGGGTGGATCACCCCAATATACCTGCTTAGTAGGGCTTTCGGCCCCCCCAAGCGGTGTTCTTTTTTATACAAAGCCAGCTTCTTGCCCCCACAAACCAAGTCCTCATTTTACCTGCCTCGAAAGGATGGAAGGCTGAGTCAACCTTGAGCCTGGTGAGATTTGAACTTGCAGTAATTGCAGGCAGCTGGTGTTACTTAACAGTGCTTTAGTCTGCTGTGCCACCAAGGCTCCTAGAAGATATAAGGATGATGTCTTTGCAGATAATTTATTTTCAGGATGATGGGATGTAAATGGAAACGGTCAAATACAGCTGCAAGCATTCAATATGGTCACTGATGTAGGATATAAGAAAATTCAAAAATAAAATAGTATGTAGGTATATAGGTTAGAAATGCATATAAGTGAAGATTCAATTTTGTTTAGGCAGGGGGTTGGACTGAATGACCTGCAGGGTCTCTTCCAGCTGTGTTACTCTGTTAAATTTGTTAGACATTATTCTGCTTTAAGACAGTTGGAGAAAAGACATGCTGAAGCATATCAATATGTAACAATGCTGTGTTAGAATAGATCTTCTTTTGTTTAAGGCCCCTTAGAAAGAGGCCCTGTTAAGGGAACATTCCTTAATGCCAAGGCAATAGATAAAAAAAAGGGCTATGCTTGCAAAATACTAGTTCAGGGGTGAAATCTAAAATTTTTCCCTACGGGTTCTATGGGCGTGGCTTGGTGGGCATGGCAGGGAAGGATACTGCAAAATCTCCATTCCCACCCCTAGGGTTGCCAGGTCTGCTTCCAAAAAATAGCAGACAAGCAGGGGGTGGGGGGTTAAATAGTAAAAAAAAATTAAAAAAATTTACAATTAAATTATATATTTTCTTACAAACATTTTAACACGTATTAAAATAATCACTTCAAAACTTTACTTAAAATTCAAAACATCAAATATATTATAATAATATGTAAAATATTAAATTACATTTTACTTTGCTGTCGTGTGTATTTTTTATTTGACTGCGCAGCTTTGATCAATTCTTTGTGTTTAAGGAATAAAGCAAGGTTGGGCCAGGATAAGACATAGATGGGAAAATTCCAGGGAAACCCAGAGCTGAAGCATAGATCGAGGAATAAAAAACATTATGGAAGAGGGCAATGGGTCGGTGAGAATGCTAGTACAAAATATGTGGAAAGACCTAGGTGATGGTTGCTGCTTAGTGAAAGTACACTTTGCCCGGAAAGGCCCATTTTTGCCTTTTGAAGGAACATGATAAATAAAAAATTATATTTTCATTTTCATTTCATTTTTCATTTTATTTAATTTGTATACCGCCCTACTCCCGAAGGACTCAGAGCGGTGAACAGGCACAAGATAAAACACATAGAATACAAAAATTTAAGAGCAGAAGTAAAATCGAATTAGATCAATTTAGCCCAAGACAAATTTAAAACCCCAGCTTAAGAACAAATTAAAATTTACATTAAAATTTATATTAAAAAGAAAATGGGAGAGGTTAAGCCAGACCAGCCTGGTGAAATAAAAAGGTCTTGAGAGCGCGGTGGAAGGTGCGTAGATCCGGGATCTGCCATATCTCTGGGGGGAGCTCGTTCCAGATAGTAGGTGCCCCCACAGAGAAGGCTCTCCCCCTGGGGGCCGCCAGCCGACATTGTTTGGCCGACGGCACCCAGAGGAGTCCCTCTCTGTGAGAGCGTACCGGCCGGTGGGAGGCCATTTGCGGCAGCAAGCGGTCCGGTAAATTACCAGGCCCTAAGCCTTATAAATGTACTCTTCTCTTTTCCTTTGGCAATTGAATATGCAACCCGTCTTTTTTTTTTTTCCTAGAGAAAAGCAAACAAAATTGCAGACAAGTAAATTGGATGCAAAATACTTTATTTTTACAGAAAGTAAAAGTTTTTTAACTTGATCTGCTGTTAAGGTGGGGTTCTTTTTATTACCGTATTATTTTGAAATGAAATAAGACAAAGACAAGAATTAAATGACTAAATAGAAAGAGGGGAAAAAAAGATGGATTCATCAGAGAGGGTCTTTCCTGCTATCCTCCCATACAAAGTTATGGCATTGTCTTCTTTATTTTAAAGATATTGTCAAACTTATCTTTGAATCTGGCTCTAGCATTAACCAATCTTAATTAGAATAAAGAAGAATAAAGAAGAAGACTAAAGAAGCTTTAGAACAGAGTAAGCGGAATGAAATTCACGACAAGATATCCAATTAAGAAGGAAAGCTTTATAATACATTTTACATTTTATAATGATGCACAGTGGGGAACAGCACAGATTTTATAAGGTTGTGGGTGCAGCACCATAGATGCTACAGGTGTTTCATCAATCTCTTTCATTCCTTCAGGCAGCTGGAACCTGAAGGCCCTCAGTAAATTGATTAGGAAGATGAAGATCTCAAATCTGGCCAGTTTTTCTGCCAAGCAGATTCGCCGTCCTATAGAAAAGACATGGGAAGAGAAGAAAGTGGGCAGTAATCGGTTCCAGAAGGACATATACAGCTCCCAATTAATTGCTAAGGAGGCTTTCCCCCTTTTACAATGTGTGGCAAAGTAAAGTGATGGACGGGAGTCGTTTTTAACTGATCTTAAGAATGATTTTTTTTTCTTTTTATTCTTTTTTTTTTTATTGGAAAAGTTTTACAATTACATTTTCTCCCCATTCCCCCCGCAACCCTCCCTAACCTCCCTAACCTCCCTAACCCTCCCTAACCCCCCCAACCCTCCCTAACCCACCCTAACCCACCCCTCCCCCCCGGACTTCCACAGAATATAATCCAAATCAGAAAGAAGAATGATTTTTTTTTGTCTATCTGCCACCTGTATGTAAGGAGACATTTGGACATCTAGAAGTTTCTTATGTAAAGAAACATATGATATCAGATATATATTGATGGTCGTGTTCATTTGGTTCTATGAAGAAGTTATTTGGTCAATACAGCTTCAGGTTCAAAAGGTTGTTTTTATTATTTACAAATATATACATGCATACGATAATGAACAGGGTGTCCTGTTACATTTTTTTACCCTAACTGTATGACTCAGATGTTGAGAGGAGAGAGAAGTTCACGTGTTGTCTCGCTGAGAGATAGATGAGAGAGAGAAAAAAAGGGGGAAGATATCCAAGTGGTTTCTAGGTAAGAGTCCAATAAGAGCGTTCATTGGCTGATATAGTCACATGTGATGTCTGTAAAGACTTAACCCCTTCTAATCTCTGGTGCATCATATGCAGGCAATATCTGACATATGAGCAGCAGGCATTATTGTCTATTGGGTAAAATACATAAGAGGCAGATATATAAATAGCAAACAGGCAGAAGACAACTGAGCACATCCATGAACACCTACTAATAATTACAAGACACAATGAAAACTGCTTAATTTCACAACACACGGGCAGACCTAAACATAGTTTAACAGGGAAATTGTGAGCATCCAAGACCAAGCTAAATCCAAAAATGCTAGAGAAGTCATGGAAGCTTGGTACTCAGAAACATCAACAGGCACAGAGGGATAAAAAACATTTCCACACCATTCAAAAGGGACCATTAAAGGAAACAGATAGACCAAAGCATCATCTTGTCAGCAATCAACACCCAGATAAGCAGGGATTAACACCAGGAGCTACCCCAGACAAACAATCAAGAAATAAATAAATAATATCCTAATCAAGGAACTACCAAGGGGAAAACATCATCCCTACCAACATTGACAAGACAAGCTTAATTCTTCCACCCAAGCAATCAGATTTTATCTGTGGGGAGGAAACTTTTTAGAATGATGAGAAAATTTTCTTTTAACCTGAAAAGAACCTGTTTTAAAAGCAAGGGAATACAAAGAGGAAGGGTGGGAAAACTAATTTCTTTGTCTAACTAAGACTCCCCATATCCAGAGATATTTCACAAGAAGAGTCCTCCACTCCTCTGCTTGCAATAAAAGACCTTATGCCACCTGACTTGAAATTCTGGGCTTAGAAAACTTAGAACTAGGCCGCCTTCGGTCTGACCTAAGCGTAGCTCATAAAATTATCCGCTACGATGTCCTACCTGTCAATGAGTACTTCAGCTTCAACCACAACAATACACGAGTACACAATAGATACAAACTTAAAGTGATCCGCTCCAAACTCGATTGCAGAAAATACGACTTCAGCAACAGAGTGATCAACGCCTGGAATGCACTACCTGACTCTGTGATTTCTTCCCCAAATCCCCAAAACTTTAACCTTAGACTGTCTACTGTCGACTTCACCCCATTCCTAAGAGGTCTGTAAGGGGAGTGCATAAGAGCACCAGCGTGCCTACCGTCCCTGTCCTAATGTTCCCTTTATTTGTATTCATTTTATGTATTTAGTTCATGCTTATATTTATATATATTATCTAATATGTACTCCACAAAATAAAATAAATAAATAAAATAATGGTGAACCGATGAAAAGAAGAACAGTTATAAATTGCCCGAAAAACAGATTGACAGACTTGAAACCCACAAGCAAGAAAGAAATCTTTAAATTACAAACTTGAATAATTTGACTTACCTACTCCAAATGGAAGAAATGCTTCTCGAAACCTAAAATTCCCGTCTTTGTCTAAAAAGTGATTTGGGTTGAATTCTTCAGGTGTCTCCCATTCTTCAGGATCTAGAAGAACAGAGCGTAGATCTGGAAGAATAATTGTTCCCTGAAAGGGGGAAAAAATAGGCTAAAACAGGGCTGTTTCATAGCAGGAGTAGTTGAATATATTTGTGGAAAACATTTCTTGGAGCATATCTTTATCTACCCACTATGTTTTTTTCCCCTTCTGCAAGCTCCTTTGGAAGGCAATAACTGATCTGAAGTTTGGCTTCTCCCCACCCACCCCCTCTAAAAAGAAAGAGGGAGTTTCATATATTTTTTACTATTCTAACTTGTCCCTGGGAGGATTACAGCATGGCAATGCATCTCCTCTCAAATTACATTCCAGCAGAACAAGGGAACTGGAGGAGAAGCAGATAGGGAGCCCATGTGGTATCTAGTTAAAGGTGCTGAGTCAGCAATGGGGAGATCCCCTCCTTTAGGCATGAAAACCAGCTAGGAGACTTGGCTCAGGCCTAGATTACATAAATCCAAAACATCCTTGAGGAGAGACCTGGCGAAACACTTCTGAAGATGTTGCCAAAAAAAACCTTCATGGATTTGTCCCTGTAGTCACCAGGTGCTAAGACTGACCTGTAAATGGATTGACAATTCCAAGAAAAGCATAGAAACTAAGAGTGGGACCTATCCTGTCATCAGAGAGAAAGGCTAGGAATAATTTAATGTATGGATCAGTGGTGGGTTGCCTCTGGTTCAGACCGGTTCTATAGAACCGGTCGTAAAAACAGTGGGAGGCTCCGCCCATCGACCCTGACGTCATCAGAATGCTTCTGCGCGCGGCCCCATTGCAAACCGGTAGTAAAGGTAAGTAGAACCCATCCCTGGTATGGATAGACTGCTATTGGTGGGAAATGCACATATTGTACAAATAAGTTTTTAAAACATGATTGGAATTATTTAATAAAACTCATTTTGTTCCTTTGTTTCTACATTAATGCAATATTTCTGCCATCATATATCCTCCACAATCCTAGCCATAGCCACAGTTGCTGGCAAAATGTCAGGAAATCTGTTGTCTAAGCTATGGTCACTAAACCCTGATGCCCAACAGATACTGGCCATTAAAGCCTACGTCAGTATATCTTATTTATATTATTTTTCCTATTTGATATTGCACTGTCCATGGGGAAGTCCCGAGCAGAGTCATTTCTGCAAGTACTATCTTGTGTTTCTCCATCTTCATTGCAATATTGAGGTGTGGTCTGTTCACGTTTTTTTCTACCTTTGGAATATGGAAATTTCCCATCCTCATATTTTTTGTGCTCTGTCTGGGAAGGGCTATTAATATGTTATACTTTGCACGCAGAATCTCATGAATGACAGCATTGGTATAAGGCAGCGCCTTTCGATCTCGATAGGAGATTGATCCAGAGGAACCGAAGACATCTTCAATCTCCTTGTGGACTTTTTCTGGAAGGAAAGAAGGGAAATCTGTTTTGAATGATACATCAGGTTGAATAACAATTAACTAATCCTTCACAGACCCAGTACTTATTTCCCAGGAGATCATGGATATGAACACAGCAAATGGGTACAAATAAATGAGGACACTAGGACAGGGATTGTAGGCACGCTGGTGCACTTATGCACACCTCTTACAGACCTCTTAGGAATGGGGTGAGGTCAACAGTAAACAGTTTAAGGTTAAAGTTTTGGGGGTTTGTGGAAGTAACCACAGAGTCAGGTAGTGCATTCCAGGCATTGACCACTTTGTTGCTGAAGTCATATTTTCTGCAATCAAGTTTGGAGCGGTTTACCTTGAGTTTGTATCTATTGTGAGCTCATTTATTGTTGCGGTTGAAGCTGAAGTAGTCATTGACGTTGTAGCAGATAATTTTGTGTACTGCACTTAGGTCAGACCATAGGCGGCATAGTTCTAGGTTGTCTAAGCCCAACATTTCAAGCCTGGTGGCATAAAGTATTCTGTTGTGAGCGGAGGGGTGGAGTACTCTTCTCGTGAAATACCTCTGGACTCGCTCAATTGTATTAATGTCCAATATACAGTGCGGATTCCAGACAGATGAGCTGTATTCAAGAATTGGTCTAGCAAATGTTTTGTATGCCCTAGTTAGCAGTACAATGTAACCGGAGAAGAAACTTCACAAGATTAGGTTAATACTCTTGATGCCTTTTTGCAATGCTGTTAAAGTGAGCTCTGGCGCTTAGATCATTTGAGATGAGTACTCCAAAGTCCTTGACAGAGTGAGGGTCGTCTACGAGGTCATATCCACCCAGCTTGCATTTGGTGTTCTGTTTTGTTTTGTTTTTTGCCAATGTGTAAGGCATTTGTTGGCTGAGATTTGGAGTTGCCAAATGTTTGACCATTCTGACACATAGTCAAGGTTGCTTTGTAGGGTAGCAGCATTGTCGATGGTGTTGAATCGTTTTACGTCATCAGCAAAGATGCTTATAATATGATCGCAAAGGTCATTTATGTAAAGTATAAAGAGAATCTAAAATAGAGAGATCTGCATTTCAAGTTCATTACATCTTTCAGAATTGAACTGATTTCAACATTGGATTATAGGTATTGAAAAAGTATATTTACAGTCTCTGGTTTCTTTTACTCTGCTGAGCTACTGAATCAACACAGGAAAATTGAAGAATAATTTAAGTTTATCATTCAATAGATATCAAAGAAATCATGTGTGCTTTAGAGCCTGAGACTAGTCCTTGCTCCTACTTCCAAAAAATTTTCTCACCTTGGATTTCTGGATGATTTACCAAGGTGAGTAGTGCCCAATTCAGACTAGAGATGGTTGTGTTTGTTCCAGCGATAAAAAGATCAAGAAGACAACAAGCCAGGTTTTCTTCATTATAAGTAGAGTTGGAGTCATTCTTGCTCTGATGTTTAAAAAAGAAAATTAATTTAGGATAAATACTCAGCTATCTTCCAGATTTTCTAGTGTTATTAGCAAGCGAAATCTTATTCTCTACAATGCATATTTCCTGCACAGTCTCTGCACATTCCTTCTAGTTTGGAAAAATTTGTCTAAACTTGCCTAAGCAAAACTATTGTTTTTCTCATTTTAATCAGGCTTTTGTAATCCCTTTCGTTTTTAATTAACTGGTTTCTAGTGTGTAGATAATCTATGGGTTTGAAGCAGTGGTGGGTTGCCCCCGGGTTCACACTGGTACTATAGAACCGGTAGGAAAATCAGCGGGAGGCTCCCCCCACCGACCCCGACGTCATCAGAACGCTTCTGTGAGTGCGCAGAAGTGCATGCGCGTGGCCCACTCCAGGGGAAAAATACTGTAAAATCTCCATTCCCTCCCCAATCCAGGGGATTTATTACAAAATCCCCATTTCCTCCCGATCAGCTGGGACTTGAGAGGCAGATAATAGATGGGGATGGGGCCAGTCAGAATTTTTACTACCGGTTCTCCGAACTACTCAAAATTTCTGCTACCGGTTTTCCAGAACTGGTCAGAACCTGCTGAAACCCACCTCTGTTGTGGCTAATGCTTCTGTTGGATCTCAAGTTGATGGCAGAGGGGTTTGGTAAATTCATTGTTAGGTAGTGAAAGTTACACCTGTTTTGCAGAGCATAAACTCTAAACCAGGGGTGTCAAACTCACATTGTCACGGCGGCATCATGTGACATATTGGGACTTTTTCCCCCTTCGCTAAACCAGGCATGGCCATGGCCAGCGCATGACGCATCTGGCCCACGGGCCGGGAGTTTGACAGTCCTGCTCTAAACCATCAATCTGAGCTAAACTGAGCTAAAACAGACATACCAATCTCATCATCCCAGTTACATATCTTCTGACTATATTTAACAACTGCATGATTCTGAATGCCTACATCATTGTGGCATGTATTTTAATTGAACAGATATAAAAGAAAGAAATACACAGAATACCTTTTCCATTTCAAGGAGGTAGTAATCTATGAAATCCTCTGGTTCATGCAGGGAATAATGCTGTCTGTGCTTCTCTATTTGCTGTCTTGCGAATGAAAGGATAAACTCTGCAGCATTCAATACCTTCTGATGGGGCCCTGGAAGACGTTTCATCAACCATGGGACTGCCTCAAACATCTAAAAAAGAAAGAAAGAAAGCAAAATTTCATTGCTATCTAAAAGAACTTAATAAGCTTCTTCTCCGGTAATATTATATTACTAACCAATGTTATTGTTTTATTGTGTTATAATAAAATATTTTAATTTTTTTTAAAAAAAAATTACACAACTAACCAGAGCATACAAAACATTTCCTAGACCAATTCTCGAATACAGCTCATCTGTCTGGAACCCACACTGCATATCGGACATTAATACAATTGAGCACGTCCAGAAATATTTCACAAGAAGAGTCCTCCACTCCTCTGCTTGCAAAAAAATACCTTATGCCACCAGAATTGAAATTCTGGGTTTAGACAATTTAGAACTAGGCCTCCTTCGGTCTGACCTAAGCATAGCTCATAAAATCATCTGCTACAATGTCCTACCTACCTGTCAATGACTACTTCAGCTTCAACCACAACAATACACGAGTACACAATAGACAAACTCATAGTAAACCGATCCAAACTTGATTGCAGAAAATACGACTTCACTAACAAAGTTGTGAACACCTGGAATGCACTACCTGACTCTGTGGTTTCTTCCCCAAACCCACAAAACTTTAACCTTAGATTGTCTACTATAGACCTCACCCCATTCCTAAGAAGTCTGTAAGGGGCGTGCATAAGAGCAACAGTATGCCTACCGTCTCTGTCCTAATGTTCCCTTTAATTAGTATTCATTTTATGTATTCAATTCATGCTTATCCTTATATATATTATCTAATATGTACTCAACAAAATTAAATAAATAAAATAAACCTAGTGGCAGAATTCATATGTCATGATTACCATGATTTGATTACACTGAAGTTATCTATTTGCTTTTTAGCCTTTTGCTCTTCAGAAGCACAAAGACTTTACAAAGTTTCAATATATTAAGCAGCTGACAATTCCAAATTCTTCATCCAAGCTCTTCTCTCATTGACTGTCCCTAGACATTGACACCCATGATATGGTCTCCCCATCAACTCCCAGGGGCTGGACAAATTCTACTCTGAGCAGCTGGTCAGAAAGATAACCAGGTGTAAGGATCTGCCTTTCCTCCTTTCCCAAGAAAGTATAGACTGCAACAAGCAGGGACCTCACACAGCCACAAAAAGTCCAAAAAAACAACTTTCATACTTTACGCACACAAAATTCCACATACAGCTTTGTGAGATTTTGTGTGTTTGTGTAGTTAGAGTGAAACACTACAGAAATACACAAAATCTCAGAAAGCTGCACAAATATTATTTTATTTTATTTTTATATAAAAGCAGCTAAATTTAAAACCTCCTAAACTTTAAATGGCTAGGTCTAAAAAAAGAACAACTAAAAAAAAACCCCAATTAACTATTTTTTTTAAAGCTCCCAAAGGGGAAAAAAACTTACCCAATAGAACAGGGGTCTCCAACCTTGGCAACTTTAAGACTTGTGGACTTCAACCTTCAACCATCAAGCAATCAAGCAGGCAGAGAGTTGAAGTCCACAACTCTCTGCCTGCTTGATTGCAGGCAGAGAAATTCAGTTGCTTGCTGATGCAATGGATTGCAGAGATTACAGCAAGGCGTTGCGATCAGCAGCTAAGGTAAGCAAGCTGAGGGGGGGAAGGGGGAGGGATTTTTGCTACCGATTAGCAGGCAACAGCTGAGATTGTCAGAGCTGGGATCGTCAGAGCTGGGCTCTCAGAGCCATTTAAAAGAAAAAAAGGCTCTGATGATCAGACGATTCAGCTGGGCGTGGGGGCGTGGGCAGGGATTTTTGTTACTGGTTCTCCGAACTGCCCGCCACCATCGCTACCTACTTGCCCAAGCCGGTGCAAACTGGGAGCATTTCACCCCTGGTATAGACTCTTGAAACATAGTATTTCAAAAGGAATCTTTTATTGAGAAGAAGTGATAGCAAACCAGGCAAAGTAGTCCCGCCTGGACTACTGCAACGCTCTCTACATGGGGCTCCCCCTGGGGTGCACCCGGAGGCTCCAGCTGGTCCAGAACGCGGCTGCGCGGGGGATTATGGGGGCGACGAGGCGCTCCCATGTGACACCTCTCCTGCGCGAGCTGCACTGGCTCCCGGTGGTCTTCCGGGTGCGCTTCAAGGTGTTGGTGACCACCTTTAAAGTGCTCCATGGCTTAGGGCCGGGGTACTTACGAGACCGCCTTCTGCCACCAATAGCCTCCCACCGGCCAGTACGCTCCCACAGAGTGGGCCTCCTCAGGGTGCCGTCCTCCAGACAATGTCGGCTGGCGACCCCCAGGGGGAGAGCCTTCTCTGTGACGGCGCCCACCCTCTGGAACAACCTTTCCCCAGAGTTACGTACAATAACAGACCTCCGGATTTTTCGTCGGGCCCTGAAAACCTATTTATTTCAACTATCTGGGCTGGCTTGAGTTAAATTTTAAATTGATTTTAAATTGGGTTGTTTTAATTTACGGCCAAAATATTTAATTATTTTAATACTGTTTTTTTAAATTTTGTATGCTCTGTTTTTACTTTGGCTGTGCACCGCCCTGAGTCCTATTTGGAGAAGGGCGGTATAGAAATGGAAACAAACAAACAAATAAATAAATAAATAAATAAATAAATAAATAAATAAATAAAGAAAGAAAGAAAGAAAGAAAGAAAGAAAGAAAGAAAGAAAGAAAGCAGACTCTAAATCCCCGCCCCCCAAACTGCACAGTTAGAAATAGGGCTCTAGAATCCATCCCTCCAGTTCGAATGCGGATTTCAGCCAATCTACAGGGGTGGAGATGTTTATCGTAACGGCCATTCTGATAGCCAGATAAGTGGTTTTCTTCCACTTTCAACCAACTGACACAACCCACATGGCCCTCCCCCCTTATTTCATTCCCAAAAGGTGAGAATATTGCAGGGCGCTTAGGTGCCAGGAAAAAAGTTATAAAATACAGCTTATCCCCATGCTCCCGCCTCCCTCCATATGAATGGCAGTATCACGTCAGGGATCTGACACCAGGTCCCTAGACACATATTGAGCCTGGATAGCTCAACAGACAGAGCTCTGTAATTTAACACCAGCTGTCTGCAATTAAAGTAAGATCGAATCTCGCCAGGCTCAAGGTTGACTCAGCCTTCCATCCTTTCTAAGGTAGGTAAATTGAGGACCCAGTTTGTGGGGGCAATAAGCTGACTTTGTATAAATATACAAAAGTATGAAGGCTATTGCTTAACGCACTGTAAGCCGCCCTGAGTCTCCGGAGAAGGGCGGCATATAAATCAAATTAAATATATATATATATATATAGAAATACTGTAATTGTATATTGATACAACATAGAAAATTTGGCTAGATTTCTTAAGGCGTAATTTGTTTTGTGAATTCCAAGCTCTGATTTAATTTATCTTCAAAATACGCTGAAAATCTAAAATATGGGTTTAAAAAGTAGCAGGATAAGTTTTGTGTGATGCAGTCAAAAGTTTTTCAAAATGGGAATGGTTTGGTCTGGTTACTTCAATAGGCAAGATAACTCACCAGATGAAAAAATCCTCCAGATCTTTTTTCAATGACGTTAGCTTCTTCAACTAACTTCTGGAAGTTTTTATCTTCAAGATCAAACTGGTGCCCAAAGCTCAAACTACACATCACATTAGCAACTGAGTTGATCAATGGCAATGAAGGATCAAAAGGCTGCCCTGAAGATAAAAAGACATTAAGAATAATTAGATTTCTTCTGTTAATACTGAAAACTTGTAGTGGGATTTCAGGAATATTGGGATCTTTTGGCAATTTATTTTTTATGGAAAATCAAATTAAATACACCAATTTTCACTCTCACCTGAAATTTCTAGACATGCATTGTCTTTCTGAACTATGTTCTGCTTCATCAGCCTTTGATTGAAAAGGAAAAGACATATTTTGCTTCCCTTGCACCAGAGGTGGGTTTCAGCAGGTTCTGACCAATTCTGGAGAACCGGTAGCGGAACTTTTGAGTAGTTCGGAGAACCGATAGAAAAATTCTGACTGGCCCCGCCCACATCTATTCTCTGCCTCCTGAGTCCCAGCTGATCAGGAGGAAATGGGGATTTTGCAGTAACCTTCCTCTGGAGTGGGGTGGGAATGGAGATTTTACAGTATCCTTCCCATGCCATGCCCATCAAGCCACACCCACCAAGCCATGCCATGCCCACCAAGCCACGCCCACAGAACCACACGCACACAAACAAACAGACAGCCAGGAGTTAATGAATCAAACAGTCAGGAATTCCTTTAAGATAACAGTCTTGGCAGTGACCCATGAACTGCCTGCCAAGAGATTTTACTCACTAAGGGAGGTTTTTTCTCCTTAGTCTGATATACCAAATTAACTCCACAAAGCAAAGGATTGTCAAAGTCCAGTCCGAAGAAATCCAAAAAGAAATTCTAACAGGTTCTAGAAACATGATATGACTTCCGAGCTTGTCTGTCTGTCACAAAGCCTGAATAGCCGACACACACCCTTTTATCCCTTGTGGGGTGTGGTCCAGTGAGTCAGCTCAATCTCTGGCCTGCCCACGCCTCTTTCTCTGCTGCACACGCTTATCCTTCTGACGCTGTCTGGGATCCAGCCAAAACTCATCCCCCTCGCTCTCTATCTGCGGCTGCTCTGAAGTCCTTGCTCCTGGCATATCTCTTGGCCTTCAGAGGAAACCTGAGGCATTGCCAGAGAGGAGGGTCCTGGAGAGGGACACCTTGCCAAATCCTCTCCTTCACCTTCTGAGTCCTCTCCCTCTGTTAGGGGGGTCGGAGTCACAACAAGATGTGATTTCATACTCAGCTATTGAACAGGAGAATGAGAGTCTGGTTCTTCAGTTCTTTTAAAGCTAGACTTGCCTCTTGACCTCAGAAGATGCCAGCCTTTTCTTGGTGGTGGTCATGGCTCTCTGTCTAATCTGTAGTGGGTTGAAAAGCTAAGTGTAAGGGGAGAAACTGTGAGACGAAAGTGTGGTGAGAGTCCCTGGGAACACAGGGAGAGGGGAGAGAAGGCACTGCAGAAGGCAGGAAGCCAGTTACAGAAACAATTCCCTTACTACAGAGAAAGGGGGAAAGTATGAAAAAGCAGCTCAGAGTAATTCTGAATGAATTACATTAGGTAGAAGCTGAGCTACAGAAATATGCTGATGGGTTTTCAAGGTTTTATTCCTTTGCTCTACTAACAGTAAATTATTTCAGAAATCCAAATGGTTCTCGTGTCCCGAATCTCCTAGACTGACTTTCCCAAAAGGGGATGGTGGAGAATAGTTATCTAGGCTTGCAGAATCCACAAATGATTTTTTTCAAAACACTCCTTCAGAACTGCTGGCAATTTCCCATCACACAGGGAGGCATTAACAGTCTCATAGATCCAGCTAGTCACATCTCCACCCAGACCTTGTAACATCAAAATCAGTGGTCAACACTACAAGTGAGAAAGGATACTATCCTATCCATCTTCTCAGAGTTCAGAAAATAATAATAATATGCCATCACATGATATGGCAAGATGGTGTTCTAATACACAATCACACACACACACACACACAAAACGTCCTGTAAGTTCAGAACACAAGGCATGGAGAAAATAGCAGACTAATGCGTATCCAAAGAACAGAGACAATGCTGTGGATGAGAAAAGATGAATGACCTGCAGAGTTTTCTGGACAAAGAAAAGCTGAAGAGATAACTCATGTGCACCTCGGATGGTAGATCCTCACAAGCAAACCAACAGAAACTGGAGGGATCCTGAAGTTACCTCATGAGTAGAACACCAGGACCCAAGGAAGGAAGATCAAGCTTGCAGCCTCAGCAAAGCCCATTAGTGGACACTGGGTTTGACCAAACTCCACTCTCTTGAATACATGGAATTACAATTATGTAAAACCTTTAGAGATCTTCAGAGTAGCTGTGAAATTTGACTGCCTGGTGAGTGAACTTATGAATGGGGCGAGGTTAAAAGAAAAGGGAAAAATGACATATTTGGATCTTACAAGGTACACTGGTTCTAATGGCTTAGGCGCTCCATGGCTTAGGACCCGGGTACTTGCGGGACCGCCTACTACCACCAATAGCCTCCCACCGGCCAGTACGCTCCCATAGAGAGGGGCTCCTCCGGGTGCCGTCAGCCAAACAATGCCGACTGGCGGCCCCCAGGAGGAGAGCCTTCTCTGTGGGGGCACCTACTATCTGGAACGAGCTCCCCCCAGAGATACGGAGGATCCCGGATCTGCACACCTTCCGCCGCGCCTTAAAGACCTTACTATTTCACCAGGCCGGCCTGGCCTAATTTCCCCCCTCTTTTATAAAAGATTTTTAAAATTTTAAATATCTTTTAGCATTTATATATTCAATTTTAAATTGGTTTTAAAAGTGTGGGGTTTTAAATTTGTCGGGGCCAAAATTATTTAATTTGATTTTATTCTATTTTTTAAATTTTGTATTGTATGTGTTTTTATTGTTTGGCTGTGCACCGCCCTGAGTCCTTCGGGAGTAGGGCGGTATAGAAATCTAATAAATAAAAATAATATAATAATAATGCTCTACAACAAATGTTGCAACTTAAAACAGTCTGGTTTTCAGATTACAAAGTCCAGACAAAAAATAGGAAAGAAAGATGGATCAACTTAGTTTATGGTATTGCTTGTCTACTTGCATGAAATTTAAGAAGCTACTGCTACTGATGCTGCTGTTTTTATATTTCACAATTCAGCTTCTTGAACCGATATGCCATTTATGACTGTTCTCTGCTTATTCTCTTGATCTCAGGCTCCATTTAAAAATAAAAAAAGAATGTTGGGTATCTTACCAGAGAAATTCAGTAAAGAAAATACATATTTGATTATATATGTAATAACCGCAGCAAGAATGGTATTTGCACAAAATTGGAAAGCAGAAAAAAATTCCTGCAAAGGGAGAACTGATTAAGAAAATATTAGAATGTGCAGAAATGAGTAGATTAACATTAGCAATCAGAGGGAAGGAAGAATCGGAGTATTACAACATATGGGGGCAATTTTATCAATGGATAGAGACTGAATATAGATAATAGACAATGTAAAAATAAGAAACATGGGAAAATATGTTGCAATATATTAAATTTAAATGTAAAAAGAAAGATAAATATGTACTAAGAAAATGATAATAAATGTTGAATATGACGACACAAAAATTTTGTACCCAGAGATTACACTGATTAATTATGAATTGTTTGTTTAAAAAAAAAAGGAATTCTGTTGTTTTTTTTTTGTTTGTTTGTTTTTTTTAATTTGATTTATATGCCGCCCTTTTCTGGAGACTCAGGGCGGCTTACAATGTGTTAAGCAACAGCCTTCATCCTTTTGTATATTTATACAAAGTCAGCTTATTGCCCCCACAACTGGGTCCTCAATTTACCTACCTTAGAAAGGATGGAAGGCTGAGTCAACCTTGAGCCTTGGCGAGATTCGAACCTGCAGTAATTGCAGGCAGCTGGTCTTAATAACCAGCTTAATAACAGGGTACCTTAGACCACTGTACTATCAAGGCTCTTTTTAGTTGGCTACTGAACGTATTTCACTTTGTGTATGCTATCCCTCCCAGCATGAGTGAGCTCAATCTTGCTTTCTTTTCCAGTACACCTTATTTGCCCTCTGAGCCCTTTCACTACAAATATTACTTACCTTTTGTATGTGCAAAAATTTCTACAAGCTGCTTGGCTAGATCTTCAATTTGGTGCTCAATGTTTTTTTCCCCCGTTCCCAGCAACCGCAAGCAGACATTACCAATGTGTCGTTGCTGCTTCCAGGTGTGACCATTTGAAGATACAATACCTGAGGCCATCAACATTCAAAGAGAAACTATTACTAATAAAATTCAAGTTTAAAAAAGTTTAGATTGACTACATAGGAAAAGCCACATTTTCTAGAGATCTCCCTTCAGAGATTCCTGTTCTTTCAGTTCTTATGAATCCTACTGTTGTTGACAAATGAAAGAAATCTAGCATTATGTTATGTGATTATTAACTGATTATTAAATGTTTAAGAAACTCACTAAAAGGCCCTTCTTGTCTTTCAGTAATATAAGATAAACAGTTGTTTAATGCAACCGTTTTAGATAATATGTGACTTCAGAACAGTGGTGGGTTCCTCCTGGTTCCTCCCGGTTCCGCCGAGCTGGTAGCGGTGACGATATGATGTCACCGAACCAGTTCTGCCCCCCCCCACATTATTCTTACCTTTTATTTGCCCCCACCCCCAATCTATTGCTGCCTCCTGAGTCCCAGCTGATGAGCTATAAGGAAAAACTGTTTAAACTCTTGCCACGGGGCTTCAAAGGGCCACCCTACAGCTGATCAGTGGTAAAAGGCAGTTTGGTGGTAGACCGGTGCCTCCAAAAACAAATGAGTAGACCGGTGCCTGCAAAAATAAATGGGTAGAACAGTGCCTGCAAAAATACATGAGTAGACCGGTGCCTGCAAAAATAAATGGGTAGACCAGTACAGCTCTGCAAGCAGTTAAAAGCCTGGTAGACCAATACCTCTGCTAAATCCTAAAGAATTGTCACATGACCATCGAGCCACGCCCACAAAATAAGGCACGCCCACAGAACCGGTAGTAAAAAAATTTAGAACCCACCCCTACTTCAGAAGTACTGCCTCTCAGTACCGCATAACTTTCTGACTACAAGGAAGTTAGGGATTAAAGTGACAAAGATCCCTTCAAGACATGAAGGGAGTTACGTAATGATAAATGGAGTAGGAAGACAGTGTGTTGCAAAAGTGTTTGCAGGCACACTTTTAGCATATTATAATCTACTCAGCAGAAGAAGCAGTGGAACAGACATAAAGAGTTGGCAATTCCACCTCTTTGTTGCTAATCTCAGGAGCTTCCCTCTTAAATTTATTTAGGCATGCACAATTTCTCTTGATACATTTCCTAGTCATGTGTAGCTTTGATGTTGTTAGTTGCAAAGTCGTATCCGACCTACCGTGACCCCATTCACAACATTCATCCAGGCCTTCCTGTCCTCTACCATCCTCTGGAATCCATTTAAGCTCATGCCTCTGCTTCAGTGACTCCATCCAGCCACCTCATTCTCTGCCGTCCCCTTCTTCTTTTGCCCTCCATCATTCCCAGCATTAGGCTCTTCTCCAGAGAGTCCTTCCTTCTCATTAGGTAACCAAAGTATTTGAGTTTCATCTTCAGGATCTGGCCTTCTAAATAGCAGTCAGGGTTGAGCTCCTCTAGGACTGACTTGTTTGTTCGCCTTGCAGTCCAAGGGACTCGCAGGAATCTTCTCCAGCACCATAGTTCAAAGGCCTCAATTCTTTGGTGCTCAGCCTTCCTTATGGTCCAACTTTCACAGCCATACATTGCAACTGGGAAAACCATAGCCTTGACTATCGCACTTTTGTTGGCAGGATGATGTGTCTGCTTTTTAGTATGCGGTCTAGATTTGCCATAGCTTTCCTCCCCAGGAGCAAGCATATTTTAATTTCTTGGCTGCAGTTTCCATCTGCAGTGATCTTGGAGCCCAGGAAGATAAAATCTGTCACTACCTCCATTTCTTCCCCATCTATTTGCCAGGACACGTGTAGCTACCTTGGTACTAATTTCTTTACAGACTTCATGGCTTTCCTACAGATAAAACTTATTTCTCTTAATGTTATAAAACCTCCTTTAACTGACAGTTCCTCAACAGAGTTATTGGCTGAGCACAAAGAAAGTAAATGTTCCCATGAAAGAGAGAAAAAGGATAGCGTGATGAATCTACTTTCAGACATAGCCTCTCGTTGTACGCTTAGGTGTATAGTCATACAGAGAGCCAGAAAAAGACATTGTATTCATGTTTTTGACAGGGATTAAGTGTGGTTATTAGTTCAGGTTCACAGAGAAAATTGCTTCGTAGAGAAGATGCAGGTGAGCTGATATCAAATGCCACACAATCTGGCAGATAAAATCTACTGCGGATCCCGCCAGCCAAGGAATTCCACCTGGCAAGGCTTAGAAGAGCCTTTTTCAACATGGCCTTCAGAAATATTCAGAAGATCTGGCTGTGCCAGTTGGCACAAGGCCCCTATTGAGATGCCTCAGGCTGGAACTGGTTGGTGTAGTTTACACAAGGCACCATTCCCACTCCGCGTGAGCCCCGAGGCTTTTACTCTAAGATTGAAGTTTACATTCTACTAATGAGTACAGAACGATCAATTTGTTCCTTTTGTCTCCCTTCCAAACAGGGAGCAAAATTGTAATAGCTCTCCAGATATGACTGGCTTAGAAATTGCTGACTGACGTTCATCAAACTGTAGTAGAATCAGAGCAATAAAGATCTGAGTTTGAGTTTCTTTATTAAGACACCTGTAAAGTGATTATTGCGTCCCAGTTTGGGTCAATGAGGATTACATAGAAACAGAGAAAAATATGCCAGTCAATAGTCCACAATTATCTATACAGTGTAGCCCACAATTTTTAATCCCTAATAAGGCAAAAATTTGGAGCCAAGCCCTTGAGGCTGACAAGGTTTTTCGGTTTTCCCTGACCTGTCCCTGAGAGAAATAGAATTATTCCTGTAAAGAATAGAGCCTTAGTGACTCCATATTTACACTTTTCATAACTTAAGCTAACCATCGGGGTAAGACATTTAGATAGGGAATTATGTATGACGCCTTTTCTGGGAAAAATAAAACCATAAACTTGATTAGTACATTCCAAGTCAGCTAAGGCTGACCGAGGCTAATTTAATAGTAGAAGGAAGGAAGCTGCCATGTTCTCATTAATTGTATTGTTATGAAGGCATGTGGTAAGGGTATTTCCATAGGGGATTTCTGATTCGGGAATATGTTGCGGAATAGCCAAGAACTTATGTAACGTCCAATAAACCAATGATATCGGACGTTTAATTGTTTTGCTGTTTGTTTGAAAATGTATTTAAACCATGTTTAAACCTGTATAACGTTCTCTCTCTTTTCTTGGAGAACCCTTTTACAAAAGCTTGTGAGATATATCTTTTAAATAAAATATGCTTTTTATTGTTCATGGTCTCCTCATCCTTATCTGAGAGGTTTATTTTTCTCACATCCCACTGAACAGAAAAGGTGGATATTCTGTTAGCTCTGACTAAATATTCAATTTACTGCCAAAGAAGGACCCTGCTTCCCCTTGGGGCAGATTAAGTCTGAAATCTTGTTATTCACTGGTTAATTGTGTTATGCAGCTGACAACACTATATTGATCTAAAAATGGGATATATTACTTGCTTTCTTTGGTGTGCTAGCAGACAATAAATTAAGACTTTTGAATCCATAATGTATACCCAGCAAATAAGTTAATACAAATACATTGAGACAATGCCCTAGATTGGGTGTCGGCAACCTGTGGCTCTGGAGCCGCATGTGGCTCTTTCATCCCCCTGCTATGGCTCCCTGTTGGCTGAACCCACCACTCACTGGCCCTGCCCTTCACCCTCCCCTCCCAATCGCTCCTTGCCTGGACTGAGAAGGTAAGGGTGACGGTGGGGGATGGAGACTCGTTCCATATTCCAAAGCGGGAGCAAAGTGCCCCTGTACTTGCTGACTATATATAGTCAGATGCCACTGACTCTTTTTTATGATTTTCAGAGCGAGAGGGGGCGAGGGAGGGAGAGGGGGAGAGGGAGAGGGGGAGAGGGAAAGGGAGAGGGAGACAGAGACAGAGAGATACCTGTTTCCCACAGAGAAGAAAACACTGGGAGCCACAAAACCTAGGTAGGCATGGCTGGGGGGATCATGTGACTGGATGGGAGTGAGTGACATCGAGTTGGCCACGCCCACCCAGGTTTTGTGGCTCCCAGTGGTTTTTTTTTTTTCTGTGGGAAACAGGTCCAAATGGCTCTTTGAGTATTAAAGGTTGCAGACCCCTGCCCTAGATATTATTATTTATTGGATTTATATAGTGATTTCAGTGCCTGGTAAATTCATAGAAATGTTGTTTCTAGAAATTGGTGAAGGATACTATCTCAATTTAGAAATAGTTCATCCTTTTTGCTAGAATCTATGTAGTAAACCTCATCACCCACCGCGCGGGTGATTATGGGTGCAACTCGTTGCGCTCATGTAACACCTCTCCTGCGTGAGCTGCACTGGCTCCCAGTGGTCTTCCGGGTGCGATTCAAGGTGTTGGTTACCACCTCTAAAGCGCTCCATCGCTCTGGACCTGGGTACTTACGAGACCGCCTTCTGCCACCGATAGCCTCCCACCGACCAGTTCGCTCCCACAGAGAGGAACTCCTCAGGGTGCCATCGGCCAAACTTTGTCGGCTGGTGACACCCAGGGGTAGAGCCTTCTCTGTGGGAGCTCCTACCCTTTGGAACGAACTGCCCCCGGAAATACGCACTATCTCTGACTTCCGAGTTTTTCGCTGTGCCCTCAAGACCCTGTTCTTCCGACAGGCAGGGCTATCTTTGTAAAGGAGTTTTAAATTCGGAGTTTAAAATTTTGGGGTTTTTAACGAATCTTGGCCGTAAATGTAATAATTTTAATAATTTTTAAATTTAATTGGGATTTGTATTGTGTTTTTACTTGGCTGTGCACCACCCCAAGTCCTTCGGGAGAGGGGCGGTATAGAAATAAAATTATCTATCTATCTATCTATCAAATAGGATTCCTCTGGTGGAAAGAGCAGTGTAATTCGTTATTTTTTGCAACTTACCTCTTCCTTTTCCAAGAACCATAATTAAAGCACTTGGTTTTCTATCAGATAATTTTGACTGCTCAGAAAAACATTCTTTCACAGTTTTGAATCCAGACAGCACCACTAAGGGTTCGTTCCCTAACCACAAAGTGTACATATTTCCATACTGCTTGGCCAGCTGCGAAGAGAATTGGGAGAAAAAATATGACAATAAAATAAAACATATGATTTTAAGTTACTACGTCACTACCAGGCCTTTTCTGTTCTTCAGCTCAGAGAAGTAGTCTCACATTCAAGCTTTCCATTGTTGGCAATTTTGTTTTCTCCTTAAGATTCCGCCATTATATTAAGAAATAAAACAGGGAGCATATCAAACGGAAGATGGTTTTATAACAGACTGAAATGAAGTTTATAATTCGCTTTACATTTAGCTTATTCTTACTGTTGCAACATAGGTCGCTTGCTGGTGGGAAATATTTCAGCCAAAATCAGAATATACACATCATCACCGTACTACCACCATCCTACATTTATTGATCTGGAAGGAATCACTGAGGCCATCGAGGTGAATATCCTGCTAAATTCAGGATTCAAAATAAAGAAATTCTCCACAGATGTTTATTCAACCTCTTCATGAACACATCTTTAAAAAGGAAGCCGACTGCTTCTGGTGATTGGTTCCACTGTTAAACTGCCTTTATCATTTAGATTTTTTCCTAAAATTTAGATAGAATCTGCATTTATAAATATATAAATATGATAAATAAATTTATGGAAGTTACGCTCATTCTGGAATGATAATAGAGAACAGGTTAATTTGCTTAAGCAATCACTCTCTATTTATTAAATTATTTTCAATATTAATACGTTACTGGGTTATTTTAGTAGCAAAACCCTATTGGCCAGTGGTGAAATGTAAAATTTGTTACTACCGGTTCTGTGGGCATGGCTTGGTGGTGGGGGGTTGTAAAAAAATGTTTTTAAAAGCCTCTGATGATCCCAGCTGAGTTGCTTGATTGTCAAAGGCATTTTTTTTTCTTTTAAAAACATTTTTAATGTTTTTAAAAAATGCAGCCGGACTCAAAATTAACAAACAAAAAACAAAAATATTAACGAAGAACCTCACGAATACACAAGGAAGAGAATTGGAGGACAACAAAACATCAACACTTAAGGAAGATAACTACAACAAATTGGCTAAACAAATAAAAAAAGACATAGAAATATGGAGCAAATTACAGCTATCATTTCTAGGCAAAATTGCTTCCATTAAGATGAATGTCTTACCAAGAATATTATACCTATTCCAGGTAATTCCGATAAACCCAGGAAAGAGCTTTCTTCAAAGATTTCAACAAAATGATAGCAGACTATGTTTGGCAAGGAAAGAGGGCAAGAATTAAATTAAAACATCTCCAAGACACATGAGAGAAAGGCGGACTAAGACTACCAGACTGACAAATATACCACAAAGCAACATCACTCATCTGGATAAGGGATTGGATAGAACTTAAAAATAAACGGATATTAACACCAGAAGGTTTTGATCTATTGAAAGGGTGGCACGCATTTTTATGGGAGGAAAGAAATAGACATTATGGATACTTCCGGAGACATATTATTAGAGAAACACTCTTAAAGATTTGGCGAGAAATTAGACAAAACCATTATGATAAGATTCCAGAATGGCTCTCAACAATGGAAGCACAAATATACCCCAACACAATGGACATGAATAAAATGAGAACCTACAAGGAATTGTTGAACAGTAAAGGAGAATTAAGAACACAAGAAGAACTGAAAGAACAGGGTACAGACATTGATTGGAGAAAATCTAATTCATAACTAAACGAACTAATAACTAAAATTTATAAATAACTATTAAATTATAAATTGGAAGAGGAGCTGGTTAAGGAAAATATGATAACATGGGCGAAAAATTTTGGTTATAGTATCGAATTAGATAAATGGGAAAAATTATGGAAAGTAAATAGTAAATTAACAATGTCTGTACCCTACAAGGAAAACATCTATAAAATGTTCTACAGATGGCACCACCAAGCCATCTGCAGCTTTTGCTGCGCACCAAGCAAAAATGTTTCCTAACACCTCTTCAGACTGTTGGAAATGTAAAACACAAAAAGGAACGTACTATCACATGTGGTGATCCTGCCATAAAGCGAAACAGTTCTGGAAAATGGTTAAAAATCAAATAGAAGAAATTACTAGTCAGAGAATACCAATGAAACCAGAAACTTATCTATTAGGAATATTCACAACACATTATGAAAAGGAAATAAAATATTTAATTATCCACATCTTAACAGCAGCAAGAATCATTTTTGCACAAAGCTGGAAATTGGAAAACACACCATCAGAAGATAAAATAATATTAAAAGTGATGGAGTGCGCAGAGATGGATAAACTCATGAAAGAAATGCAATAAAAAGAGGAAACAGATTACTACCTGGTATGGCAAAAATGGTATGATTGGCTGGAGAAAAGGAAAATAAAACAAAAATAGGATCACACTGAAGGAAATGGACTAATTAGACAGGAATTGAGTACCAACTAAGAAAACAATAAATTAAAAAGAGAATTCAAAATATCGTTATATAATTAAAGGTGTAGAAATATTGTATATATAGAGAAATATACTTTACCAATGTGACTATCCAAAATACAAGTCGTAAGACTTGATTTATGTTTATTTGTTGTGTATGTTGTGTATTGTCATATTTGTACTTGTTTGTTTTTCTTTTTTAACGAAATAAAAATTAAAAATAAAGAAATAAATAAAAAATTAAAATTAAAAAAAATGCCTCTGATGATTGCGCGGCTCAGCTGGGCATGGCGGGGTGCAGGGATTTTTGCTACTGGTTCTCCGAGCCACCCGCTGCCATCGCTACCGGATCGGGTGATCCGGTCTGAACCGAGAGCATTTCACCCCTGCATTTCACCCCTGGTACAAGGAAAATAATATACAATTCCTCCCATTCTTAATCAATATTAAGAAATACCTTAGAGAAAGTGTCTTTATGAAGTGTAACTCCAAAAGCCCACATGTTTCCAATGAGGGGAAGAGACAGTGGTCCGGGAGGGAAGTGTCTTCTTATCCAAAGTTGTTTCAAGGAGAGAAGAATTAGCAGAGCAAGCAGAAAAAGAAACAAAAATGCCCCTATGTCCATTGTCCTGTTTTAGTATCCTCTGATTTTCTGCCCCCCAATATATTGAGAGAAGCTGAAACTTTTTCTCTCCTGCTACTCAATTGCCTTATGTGATCATTTGCTAGAATGCTAACGTCTTTTTATATTACTCCATGAACTAAAAACGAATAAGTGCTAGATCTGCTGACAATACACCCTCAGGATGTTTTGCATAATCAGCATATTAGCATGCTAAATCTATATAATCCATCTTTCGGAAAGGCGATCCTTAAGATATCTTGTTCCCAAATCAGACGTGTGGCTTATGACGATATGCTTTTAAGTTGGACGGGTTCAACAAAAGAAGAATAGACCAGTAAGAACTAGACTGGTGGCAGATCTGTTTTCTAATGTTTAAGAAAGAAGGGCCTGGTGGTTCAGCAGACTGATAGCATTGTGATTAACAGCAGCTGTCTGCAATTACTGTAAATTCGAATCTCACCAGGCTCAAGGTTAACTCAGCCTTCCATCCTTTCTAAGGTAGGTAAATTGAGGACCCAGTTTGTGGGGGCAATAAGCTGACTTTGTATAAATATACAAAAGTATGAAGGCTATTGCTTAACGCATTGGAAGCTGCCCTGAGTCTCCGGAGAAGGGCGGCATATAAATTGAATTTAAAAAAAAAAAATTCTGTGGTGGAAGGATAGTCAAATACCTAAAAGCTAGTCAAGTAATCAGTTGAGAATGTCACCTCATAGGGCCTGATTGGGTGTTGTTTATTACTTATTTTCCTCCCTCATTTGCTAAAATTGTTGCACTGGATTAAATAATGGGTAAATTATCCCTTTGTTTTCCTTTAAACTCACTCCCTGCATTTTGATCTTGATTTTTTAAAAAAAAAAAAAAAAATCCTGATTCAATTGTGTTTCATTAAGAGAAAACAAATTCTAATCTTTCTTCTCTGGTGGATGAAGACATTCTAAATCCCTCCCTTAGCCATAGAATAATTAATACTAATGATGAAATCTCAAGATGAAGGTGTCTCGGCAGCGGAGATCCTTGATATTCAGCTGGAAAAGTCTGTTGTGACCACAATACAGGTTCTGTTTGGGGCTTCTTGACTCAGCCTTCCATCCTTCCAAGGTGGGTAAAATGAGGACCCAAATTGTTGGGGGCAATATGCTGACTCTGTAAACCGCTTAGAGAAGGCTGTAAAAGCACTGTAAAGCGGTATATAAGTCTAAGTTCTATCGCTATTGCTATTCTTCTGAAGAAGAGCCTTTTCTCCTGTTTATGACTAAGTTGCAATCAATCTGTGATTTTGTGGAGTCTAATCAAGTCAAGTCATGGTTTGAGATGGAATCGTTGTAAAATGTGTACAGTTTGCTCTATATGGAGATGATGGCAACCAGCCAACCCTGTGTGTGTCCTGAGAGGGATGAGCAAAGGACACTGGGAATGTGTGCCAAGAGTGTATATTCCCAATAGGGTCACCAAAGTGTGAAGGTCATCCTAACTGTCTAGCTAAATCAGGCAGACACCTATATTGGGAAGCAGAGATATAGGAAGGTACTGGTGGTTTTTAAAGAAGAGATTGGACTAGAAAACCTCCCAAGGTCCCTTCCAACTCTGTTACTCTGTGTGAATTTTGACTTTGGGGGTACTGCAATGGTCATAAGTGTGAAAAATGATCACATCACTTTTTTTTCAGTGCCACTGTAACTTCGAACGTTCACTAAACCGTGTTGTAAGTCGAGGACTGCCTGTATAAATTGCTACCCATATTACGTTGTCAACTACAGTTTGGAACAACATAGAAAAATGTTCTCTATTACTGCAAATAGCTTCAGCTTAAGATGTAACCTTCATTTCAGTTTTTTGCTCTTTGGGTTCTTTTTTAATTAATTTTTTTTAAATTATTTGATTTATATGCCGCCCTTCTCCGGAGACTCAGAGCGGCTTACAATGCGCTAAGCAATAGCCTTCATCCTTTTGTATATTTATACAAAGTCAGCCTATTGCCCCCACAATCTGGGTCCTCATTTCACCTACCTTTGAAAGGATGGAAGGCTGAGTCAACCTTGAGCCTGGGGAGATTTGAACCAGCAGAAATTGCAGGCAGCTGAATTATAATAACAGGTTATTAGTCTATTAGTCTGCTGCACCACCAGGTTCTCATCATCAAATGTTCTTTCTAGGGCATTGTTTATTTCAAAGTTCTTTTTGTAGCAACTTCCATTTAAATTGTTACCCTCTTTCCTTCCAGGCTTACTCCTACGCTGAGTCTGAGCACTTCAACAAGTATTGCTAGAAATTCTTCTAACTGCCCATCGATTATGCGCACTGGTGGGATTCAGCCGGTTCGCACCACTTTGGGAGAACCGGTTGTTAACTTTCTGAGCAGTTTGGTGAGCTGGTTGTTGAAAAAATCATTAGGGCAGAGAACCAGTTGTTAAATTATTTCAGTCCCACCAGTGGTTATGGGGCAGTTCCAAAATGTTCCTGTGATTTTCAAGAGATAGTTAGGACTGCAGAAAAAACAATTGCAACCAGCCTGCCTTCTACTGAGGACTGCATGGGCCAGAAAGAGGGCTGTGAAAATATCTACAGACACCTCACACCCTGGACATAAACTGTTTCAGCAACTTCCCTTGGGATGCTGCTATAGGGCATTGCATGCCAAAAAAATTAGCTGTCAGACCTATAAGCCATTTTTGTCATTGTGCATTCAGGCTTGCCACATTTCATAGTGTGGGAAACTGGGAGAGGGGATTGTATGAAGCATGAGTGATACATAATCATAATAACATTCCTTTCTCAGAAAGTCAAGGCCATCTTGCCCTGCACCTGCGAGGCTGGAACTGGGAAGCCTGTCCAGTTGGGATCATGCTGTAATTGGACCATGTGATGGATTCGTGAGTGCTGGCCAGGGACTTGAACTTTCCTTTGGGTGGGGAAACCCTGGAAGCTTTCAGATTCAGGTTTTCCCAGATGTGTGGCATCTCTAATAAATTGTAACTTTGAGGAAATCCAAGCCTCTGAGTCTTATTTTGTTGGGGGTGGGTTTTTTTGTTTTGTTTTTTATTTGATTTATATGCCGCCCTTCTCCAGAGACTCAGGGCGGCTTACAATGCGCTAAGCAATAGCCTTCATCCTTTTGTATATTTATACAAAGTCAGCTTATTGCCCCCACAAACTGGGTCCTCATTTTACCTACCTTAGAAAGGATGGAAGGCTGAGTCAACCTTGAGCCTTGGCGAGATTCGAACCTGCAGTAATTGCAGGCAGCTGTTCTTAATAACAGGGTGCTTTAGACCACTGTACTACCAAGGCTCTTGGTGTTACTTGGAACCTTGACACTAGACACAGAGACAGTTTTTTCCCTCATGCCATTACTCTTCTGAACACCTAATTTCCACAGCACTGTCTTATATCTAATGATATTTACTCATGTAGTAGGGCTATATTACTATTATCCTTCTCATCTTTCCTATTACCTTTTCCTATTAGTATCTTATGGTTATATTACTTTAGTGTTTGTTGCTTGTATGTACACTGAGAGCTTATGTGCCAGAAACAAACTCCTTGTATGTCCAATCACACTTGGCCAATAAAGAATATTCACTTGGAATACTGCATCCAGTTTTGGTCACCACAATGTAAAAAAGATGTGGAGACCAGGGGTGGGTTCTAAATTTTTTTACTATCTGTTCTGTGGGTGTGGCTTATTTTGCAGGCGTGGTTTGATGGTCATGTGACAATTCTTTAGGATTTAGCAGTGGTACTGGTCTACCAGGCTTTTAACTGCTTGTAGAGCTGTACCAGTCTACCCATTTGTTCTTGGAGTGTCCTGGTCTACCCATTTGTTTTCCGAGCGCACTGGTCTACCATCACACTGCCTTTTAACACTGATCAGCTGTAGGGCAGCCCTTTGAAGCCCCGCGGCAAGAGTTTAAACAATTTTTTTCCTTCCAGCTGATCAGCTGGGACTCAGGAGGCAGCGAAAAATTGGGGGTGGGGCCAAATAAAAGGTAAGAATAACACGTGGGAGGGTCGGGAGAGCCCAGTTCCTGAACAAAGAGAACCGGTTCGGTGACGTCATATCATCACCGCTACCGGCTCGGCCAAACAGGGCCGAACCGGGAGAAACCCACCACTGGTGGAGACCCTAGAAAGAGTGCAGAGAAGAGCAACCAAGATGATTAGGGGACTGGAGGCTAAAACATACGATGAATGGTTGCAGGACCTGGGTATGTCTAGTTTGATGGAGAGAAGGACTAGGGGAGACATGATGGCAGTGTTCCAATATCTCAGGGGCTGCTACAAAGAAGAGCGAGTCAAGCTATTCTCCAAAGCACCTGAAGGCAGGACAAGAAACAATGGATGGAAACTAATCAAGGAGAGAAGCAACTTAGAACTGAGGAGAAATTTCCTGACCGTTAGAACAATTAATCAGTGGAACAACTTGTCTCCAGAATTTGTGAATGCTCCAACACTGGAAGTTTTAAAGAAGATGTTGGATAACCATTTGTCTGAAGTGATGTAGAGTTTCTTGCCTGGGCAGGGGGTTGGACTAGAAGACTCCAAGGTCCCTTCCAACTCTTCTCTTCTCTTCTCTTCTCTTCTCTTCTCTTCTCTTCTCTTCTCTTCTCTTCTATTCTATTCTATTCTATTCTATTCTATTCTATTCTATTCTATTCTATCCAAGAGATAGGTCTCTTTTAAAAATCTTCCAAGCTGGTGGCCATTTTTGTGTTTGCACTATAAAGAAGCATTTCCTTTCAGACATTCTACTTCTTTTCACATTACCCTGTAGTATTATGACACCAAGAGAAAATTTGTTCTCCTTATCAACTTGCTATGTACGCTAAATAAATTCCCATAATTCTAATATTTCCACTTACACTTTAGCTGCTAAGCTAAAAAGTTTAGCCAGCCACTCTATTTCCTGCAACAATAGATGATTTTTATGCTTTTCCTTTTCCTTTTCCTTTTCTTTCCTCCCCTTTTGTGAGGGGTGGAGAAAGCTAAGGTGTATTTCTCTCCTTCAGACTCCCTTGAGTGGCAAGTGAGGCTCCCAGACAACAGGGATGATACATGCCGCCCGCCATTCCCTAGACGTGCTATGAGGCCTTTCTTTTTCCTGCCATTTCCCCTCAGCAATTTATCTGGCTGAGGAGCTTTTCCCGTTTCCTCAGCCCCTGTGAGAGGCAGCAAAGGCAAGATGGAGGATAATAGAAGCCCTCTGGCTGAAAAGGCCTTCCTTACACAGCCTGGGCCCCTTTCCTGGGAGAAGAAGCTGTGGGCTGTGATCTCCTCCAGCTTTTGATACACTAGAGCAGTGATGGCTAACCTTTTTGCCATTGCGTGCCAAAAGCAGGGGGAACGGGGGGGTCGCAGGTATATGTGCCCACATCCATAATTTAATGCGCCCTTCCCTCCCGTGAATGCACACGTGACCCCCCACACACACACTTCCCCCTGCTTTTGGCACACAATGGCATGGTGGGCCAGGTAGGCCCGTTTTTCCCCCTATCCAGGCTCCAGAGGCTTTCTAGGAACCTGGGGAGGGCAAAAACAGCCTTCCCCATCCCCCCTGGAGGCCTTCCCGGAGGCCAGAAACAGCCAGTTTCCCGATTTCCAGTGGGACCGGAAGGCCTGAAAATCAGTTGGCTGGTGCGCACATGTGCGCTGGAGCTGAGCTAGGGCAACACTCGCATGCCCACCAATATGGCTCTGCGTGCCACCTGTGGCACCCATGCCATACGTTCCCCATCACTGCACTAGAGGGAGGCCATTTTGCTTCCTTCTACCAGAAATCCAGCGGGAGAGAGGTTTTCATGGCTCTGATGTTGCTCCCACTTTGGCCTCTGGCCAGAGGTGCAGAATCAGGAGCAGCACAGCTGCATTTCCCAGTGAGACACAAACACAGCTGCCGTAGCATTAATGTCCTTTATTATAATGTATTATTGTCATTCCCTTCAAAGGAACCGAAAGAAAACAGGCGAAATTTTGACAGTCATCACTGAAAGAAAAATACCACAAGCATAAGAGCCCTTTTCCCCCCTTCTGTCAATATGGGAGCATATTATGGGATTATGGGAGCATAATCCCATAAAAATGCTTCAACAGCAGGTAATAGGCAAGTTCTGTTTTATTCTGTTCTGTTCTGTTCTGTTCTGTTCTGTTCTGTTCTGTTCTATTCCATTCCGTATTTTCTATTCTATTCTATTCTATTCTATTCTATTCTATTCTATTCTATTCCACGTGGTTTGAGGTCCTGGGCAAAAAAGGCACATGGGTGAGAGAGAGAGAGAGAGAGAGAGTATTCTGTATTCTGATTGGTTGTCAGACTCCCATGGGGCCATGCAGGGGTAACTTTTACTTTTCTTGCCACGGTTGTTAAGTCAATCATTGCAGTTGTTAGTCACCCCGTTGTTAAGTGAATCTGGATTTCCCCATTGACTTTGCTTGTCGGAAGGGTCGCAAAAGGGGATCACATGAGCCTGGGACACTGCAATTGCCATAAGCATGAACCACTGGCCACTTGCTTCTGCTGAGACCTGCTCTAGTCGGCCCCTCTGGAAAGCAAGACTCCTGAACCCATTGAGTTGAATCAAAAGAACTTTTTTGACTGAGAGAAACTGGTGGCAGTAAAGTCAGGCGGAATCTGAAGTTCAAAAGCAAATTTTTTTGGGTTTCCCCATCCTAACCTCCCTGACTGGTCTATTGGCAGCCAGAGTGTGATGCCAAGAAGATGTTTTGAGAGCATTGAGGTGCTAGGCAGAAATCAGTTCACGTTCAGGGCACGATGGCCTTGGAACCTTAGCAGGAACCAGCTGAGAAGGAGTCCATCCTATCTCCGAAGACAATCCCCCTCCCTAATTTCCAAACGTGCAGCAGAAGCAAAAGAATCCCAAGTATGCCAACCCCCCTCCTTTTCCAGCACAATGGCAGGACTTCCTGGTGAACCTGACAGGGAGAATCATTGACACTGCACTTTCTGAGCCGCAGTGGCTCAGTGGTTAGAGTGCGGGACTGCAGGCTACTTCTGCTGATCACCAGCTGCCAGAAGTTTGGCAGATCGAATCTCACCAGGCTCAAGGTTGACTCAGCCTTCCCATCCTTCCGAAGTGGGTCAAATGAGGACCCAGATTGTTGGGGGCAATATGCTGACTTTGTAAACTGCTTAGAGAGGGCTGTAAAGCACTGTGAAGCGGTATATACAGTACGTCTAAATGCTATTGCTATTGCTATTCTCAGGCACTAGGTGGCAATACAGACTATCCACTCAAGCTCAAGTGAATTCTTACAAGCAGCAAAAAACAACAGGAAAATGATACTAACATAGGAACCAGCCCCTGGAATAAATCCAGATGTCTACTGTGCCAACAACCCCCTTACAGGTCCCAATAACTACACGTAGAAGCTTAGAGGTCCTTCACATGCTTTCATTTCAATGTTAAATAAGCCATAATTTTCCAGAAACGCTTCTCTGAATTCTATATAGGGGCAAATTTGCAGAAAAGGATGAGAGTACCGAAATTTGACACTAGGATTCAAAACAAGGACTGACTATTTTCAAAGCATTTCGATTTCAGAGGACACTACATGGCAGACTTCAGCGCTTTGGGAAAATGGGACTTTTAGAACTATATTTGTATTTATTAGTTTGTCAAACATGAACAAGATAGCAGGTATAAATATAAACATAGATATGACTCCCTGGTTTCACCCAGGCTTATATGTGTACTTTTGGTTTTTCTTGCATAAGTGTAAGACTTTACTTTCTCTCCACTGAATTTCATTTTGTTAGATACGGCCCAGTGTTTCACTATGTCACAATCCATCTGGTAATATCTAGCCTATCTCGGGTGTTGGCTATTCCTACCAGTTTAGTATCCTCCACAAATTTGGTAAGTTCCATTTCTATTCCCTCATCTAAGTCATTTATGAAGATATTGAAGAGTACTGGGCCTAGGACAGAACCTTGTGGTACCGCACTGCTTACTTCCCTCCATGTAGATGTAGTATCATTAAGGACTACTCGTTGAGTAGAGTTTGTCAGCCAGTTACAAATCCATTTGATGGTGATGTTATCTATCCCACTTTTTTCTACCTTACCAAGAAGTAGGTTGTGGTCTACTTTGTCAAATGCCTTGCTGAAGTCTAAGCATATTAGGTCCACAGTATTTCGCTGGTCTACTAATTTAGTCACTATGTTGAAGAATGAAACAAGTTTGGCTTGGCATGATCTGCTTTTAACAAACCCATGTTGATTTCTAGTTATTACTTTACTCGTTTCTAGATTTTGGCAGATCTGGTTTTTTTATTATCTTTTCCAGTATCTTCCCAGGTATTGATGTTAGGCTGATTGGTCTGTAGTTTCCTGGGTCTGTTTTTTTCCCTTTTTTGAAGATGGGAACCAGATCAGCTCTTTTCCAGTCCTCTGGTAGTTCTCCAGGGCTCCAGGATTTTTGAAAGATGTGGTACAGTGGTTCTGAAATGACATCTGCCAGCTTCTTTAGAACTCTGGGATGTAATCTATCAGGTCCCAGTGACTTGTATTCATAATCAGGATCAATATCTGATCTGCATTGTTGTATACAAATTCTCCAACTAGCAAAACATTCACTCAATTATCCTGTTGAAAATGTATAAAACATTGTATTGTATTCAAACTTTCTCTCTTTATCAGAAGACGAAACCTTTACACCCAATCATAACTTATCTAATAATAGCTTAAATTTCTATCCCCTTTAAATCTCTATGATAAATATCTATGGAGCCTATTAGCTATGATTTTCAGAGTGTCAGGTCATCTAACAGAATTATCTCTGTTATATCAACATCCAAACCTGTTCCCAAGCATCAGCTCCACCTAAGGTCCAGGTTTCTCAAGCCATTCATACTATTCCAGGGGCCAGCTTCTCTACCCAATATCACAACCATGAATAACAACATAGTACTAAGAATGTCTTCACCTCTCCTTATGGAGCAAAGTGGCTCGCGTAGTTAGGATGCTGGGTTGGAGGTTAGCAAACTCATGTTCGAGATCTGAGTGTTGTTGTGGGGCAGGGGTTTTTTGTTTGTTTGTTTGTTTTCAATTTGATTTATATGCAGCCCTTCTCCGGAGACTCAGGGTGGCTTACAATGCGTTAAGCAATAGCCTTCATACTTTTATATATTTATACAAAGTCAGCTTATTGCCCCCACAAACTGGGTCCTCATTTCACCTACCTTAGAAAGGATGGAAGGCTGAGTCAACCTTGAGCCTGGTGAGATTTGAACTTGCAGTAATTGCAGGCAGCAGATGTTAATAACACTATTAATAACAATGCTTTAGTCTCCTGTGCCACCAGGACTCTGTTGAACTTCCGTCCTTCACTCCAGCTCCTGCTAGGGACATGACCCTAACCCTAACCCTGATCCTTTCAACTGAGAAACACCTTGATGCTTCTGATACAAGTGTCCTCAGCTAATCCTTTTAACCTGGAAACACCTTGGTGACACAAATGTAATGCAATCTCTCCCTATTATTCTTATATCCCTATTTATGATCTTGATTGTCCTTGAAAAAGGCAGAAAAGAATCCATAATACAAACTAGAGTGGACCCACCATAAAATTCAATTATTTTCTGAAAGCTATTTTACAGTGGGTTGGCATTCTACCATTGTTTTGTGAAAGCAGTCAAAATATCCCACACATTGCTAAATAGAACTTCCATAAGGATCTACATTAGTTTTCCCCAATACAATGATTTCAGGTTGCTAATAACCACAGTTCCCAGCTGAAATCTTTGATTTTGCAAACCTAACATATTGGGAGATACTATATTGGGAAAGGCTAATCTGACATTCCTAGTTTTTAATTTATCAAATAACTTCTGAAAGAAGCAAAATGGGATCTTGGTAATATGTTCTTAAGACTGGCCAGAGATGAGATTTCCTCCAACAGATTTTGAGCATGTGAAATTGGGGAAATCTAGTTTAGAGGTTTAGCCAACTAAATGGCATCAAAGTGGCCATCATTTAATTAAGCCAGATCTCCCACTTGCAAAAAGCTATTTCAAATTAAAATCTGATGGAAGAAGAATATCTCAATACCATTCAGTCTTTAAGACTAATCATTTTAAAAAGGTCTTTTAAGAATAAACATTATTTTCTGTAGCTGTGATAATTTTTGAAAGTTAAACCTATTTTTCTGGAACGACAGAAAAGCAAGCACTGTCCCCAGTGTCAATTAGGAATACAAAAACATGTTTATGAGAAGTTGCTAGGAAGCCAGGAATAAAGCAACAGCTTAAAGGACGATATCAGTATCTTTCTTTTATATAGATCTCAGATACCTGAGATTGTCATGAGTAAAAGTTAAAAACTCTAGAAATAAAAGGTCATTGTACCACTTTTCCCTATAATGACACAGCTATCCTTAATATCTCTGATATATAATTGATCTTTTGTATACTAGGGTTGTATAATAATAATACTATCTGATGTTTCAACTTCATGCAAGTATGCACCTGCAAAAAGATATAATCCACACCTTACTGGTTGAAGTACAAGGTGTTCACAAGGTGTTCTAATTAGCAGAGAATATAAAGCACAGCGGCAACAGAAAAACTCAGGTAAGAAAGGAAGAATATCTATGAAGAAAATTGAAAGCCAAGAAGGAAAAGGCTTCTATCCCGCATTTTTTGCAGCAGCCACTCAAAGTTGGAAAAGGGGAAAGCAGAAGAATGTTGATGCTACTATTATTCTTTATCACTGTGATTCTGTGTGTGATACTTTCCTTTCGGAAACAGTTCAGTAAACACAAAGACCATCCCCCAGGACCTTCTCGGATTTCCTTGATAGCAGGAAGACTGGTGGAGGGGACCATCTTGTCAGAGAAGACATTAATGGAGGTATGTCTTTTAAAATGCTTAATCAAATAACAATTGAAAGAAGGGGAGCTTGACAGACTTCAACACTATCCAACAAAATGTTGCTCAATAGTGAGAAACATAAAATATGTTTACTTAGGCAAATACACAGGAATAATATAGGTAGTACCTGGTTAAGTGGTGATACTTGTGAGATGGACAAAAGTGTCCCAGTTGACCATGCAATAAACTTGAGCCAGCAGGTTTTATAGATGGCATTTAGATCCCAAAAAGTTGTCATGTATGTACCCTAATGTTCAGCCAAAATGTTGGAGATGTGAATGTTTGGATGCTACGTATTATCATGTTTGGTGGACCTGTAGGAAAGTTAAGGCTTTTTGGATAAAAATTTGGTGGGTCATGCAGAATGTTTTGAAGAAAAAAATTCAATTTTCTCCACAATTGTTTTTATTGGGTATAGTTAAGGGTTTTACATTGGGTGAAACAAAATTGATATTGTATATGATAACAGCAGCGAGATTGTTGATAGGTAAATACTGGAAGAATGAAGCTTTGCCCACTATCGAGGAATGGACTTTGAAGATGGCCAGTTTTGCAGAGATGGCGAAGATTTCAGCATATTTAAAAGATTGTTCACAAGAGACTTATGAATGGGAATGGAAAAGGTGGATAGAATATGTTCAGAACAAATATCAAACTAGAAAGTATCAAATAGCTTTTATTTGAAAATAATGTATTGGAAATATTTTAATGTAATGAGGTAAAGAGAGAAATTATACAGGGGAGGGAGGTTCAAGTTTATATATGAGTGTTATATTAAGGGTTTTTTATGAGTATGAATATATTATAGGGAAGTCTGGGGGGAGGGGAGGGTTAGGGAGGGTTAGGGAGGTTGGGAAGTTTGGGGGGGGAGGTGGGGGGGAAAAGGGGTGAAAATGTAATTGTAAAACTTTTGCAATAAAAAAAAAAAAACTTGAGCCAGCAGTATGCAGCATCTGCCAAAAGAGCCAGTTGAAGTTTTGGCCTGCCTCAACACAGCTATAATATCAAAATCACAGAAAATGATAGCAATAGCACTTATGGAGATATATACCATTTCATAGAGCTTTACAGCACTCTCTGTGTGGTTTACAGAGTCAGTATATTGCTCTCAGCCATCCGTGTCCTCATTGTACTGCCCTCGGAAAGATGGAAGGGTGAGTCAACCTTGAGCTGGTCAGGATTGAACTCCTGGTAGTAGGGAGAGATAGCTGGCCATACTGCCTTCTAACCACTGCACCACCATAGCTCCTGTGCCACCAATGCAGCATAATACTGTTCTATGCTATGCATTGGTCAGACTGCATCTGGAATGAATGGGAAAGAATGCAGAGAAGAGCAGCAAAGATTGGTAGGTTTAGTGTGAAGAAGAGAAGGCTAAGAGCACTTGTGCAGGGATATCACAGAATGGAGGGGTAGATTCATTCTCCTTAGCACTTGATTTGTTTCTGCCAGGCTTTTGGAAATTCTCTAGCATTCCTGGACTTGGCTTGGTCTAGGAGGCTCACAATTTCCCCCATTGAAATATGGTTAAATCTATCCATGCGTTGTGAAATTAAGGAGTTTTCATCATATCTTCTGACTGCTACTTGGTATTCAGAAATGCTCTTTGCCTCATCCCATGATTGTGAGTATGGGCAAGCGTGGGTGTGGACACTTACATTTTGATCATGTCTCAATGGGACTGCAAACTTTGGGCATGAGCCATCAGTCCCTTTCTTCAGTGCCATCACAATTTTGAACGATCACTGAATAAATGGTCATAAGTTGAGAACTAATTGAATTCTGCTGTGCTATCCTGTCAACATTAATATGTGTTTGATGTTCGTTAGTAATAGTTGTTTATTTTAGTTGTTGGAGCATTGGCTGTTGAAATATTGAACAGGTGAGAGAATTGTGGGAATAAAGATCAAAAAATCATTTTATAGATTAAAAGCATTTGTTTTACTAATAATAATATACACAATATACCCATACAACAAAATTCATTTAACACCCAAAGACCAGGTCCAGCACATATAACAATCCCCAAACACACTCCCATCCACCACAAATTCTTGGCCCCTAAACCACCCAAACATCCACACAACAGACCAAGTAACGCTGTGATGATTTGATGTTATTTTTGGACGATCCATTCAAAGGGACAGAAATATTAATGGGGAAATTAAAAGAAGTTGATGTGTTAACAGGTGTTAGATTGATAATCAGAAGACAAAGATGTTAACAAAAATATGTAAATAGAGGATCAAGGAAAATTAATTAAATTAAAGGTGTTAAAACAGGATATGAGAGGTCTGTAGATATTTTCTCAGCCCTCATTAAGAAATTGTGCAATATACAAATCCTCAATGGAAGGCAGGCTGGTGCCAATTATTTTTTCTGCAGTCCTAACTATCCGTTGATGTCTGTACCTCTCCTGTTTGGTTGCTGTACCAAACCAGATAGTTATAAAAGTACAAATGACAGACTCAATAATTCCCCTGTAGAACTGTAGAACTCTTGAGGCAACCTGAAGTTTCTGAGTTGCTGCAGGGAAATCCTTAGAGTCTTTGGTATATAGAGAAAAGAGAAATGGAGAGAGTATACCACCTTGGTGGGGGTGGGGGTTGTGATAGTTGTTTGGATATTTGATGTGATTTTCCCAGGCTTCACCTGTTTACTCCTGGTCACTGCAACCATCATAAATATGAGACAATTGCCAAATGAGAGAGTGCTGTACAATTGCTGCTACTCCCACTGTTACAATTACACTCTCAATGTCATTAACTTATTAAAAACCATTCTTGAAAAGTCACAGATACAGTACTGGGAGCCACATAAGGCTGTAACTGAATTTACTGAGTTCTGGAGGAAGAAAAAGGCAGGAAGATGAGAAGGCAAGAGTCAGGAAACTGGAACAGAAGGTCACATGTTAACCTGCATTATGCATAATAACACAGAAGGTTTATCTTTTTCTACGTTGTACAAACTGCAGCTGGCAAAGCAATATGGGAACATTTATTCTCTGTGGGGAGGAAATTATTATATTATAGTCTTCTCTGGATACCAAACTGTGAAAGAAGCATTAACTAAACATGCAGAAGCCTTCGATGATCGTCCGGTTACACCATTCATATTGACTATCACCAAAAACAGGGGTAAGTTTTGTCCAACTTTGTGGGTTTACTATGCTCTCCAGAATTAGCATCTATACATCCATGGCCAACACTCAGGTTTTAGATAAAGATATTGAATATTAAAGAAGTCTGTCGAAGAGAAACATGAAATGAAAGGAAACATAGCTCTTCAGTGATCAACCTGAAATGAGTTATTGCATTGTATTTGTCAAACATATCATAAAGCAAGGTGATTTACTGCTCCATATTTGCTTTGATAGTTGTTTTTGTAATTTCACATAGAATTTATTCTTTAAAAGGAGATTATTCGGCAGCTCCCATGAGGAGCAGGATCATGAAATAGGCAGTGTTTAATAGACCAAATCAAGAAAAAGCAGAATTTTTAGGTCATATATAAAGAACACATGGCCAACATTTGGCTCTATTTAGGTTAGGATCATTATTTCAGGTGTTTCTTTAGCTTATAAGAGGTATTATAAGAATACTGGCTCTATGGAATCTGAAAGATTTGAATTCTCGGACTTGAAAAACGTTAGGATAGGGGATTTCACTAGCTCATCTATGAAGAGAAAAGGGCATGGAATTTTTTTGCATAATCAGAAGGAATTCTTTAGCATTGTCCTCTCTATATAAATCAAGGTTTTCTATGTTATTAAGAATCCAAATTTCCCATTTTTTTAACAGTGAGATCTTATTTTCCCCCATTTCCATTTTCTGAAGTATATGCTACAGTTGAGTGTCAAAGCTACGCAGGCAGGGATTGGATTCTTATTTATTTACTTATTAAAATTATATGTTGCCAATCCACTTATGCATTCTACAGGAGCAGAAATTAGAGCTACTTTCTAAACCACAAATGATTTTTTTTTTTGTATTGGTGTGAGCTATTCTTTCCTTTTAATCTTTGATTATTCAGGTATTGCATTTTCAAATGGTCACACCTGGTTGCAGCAAAGGCGGTTGAGTGTTGTCACCATGAGGAAGTTAGGCCTGGGGAAAAAAAGCATGGAATCCCAAATACAAGCAGAGGTCGAAAGATTTTTGGAGGACCTGGGAAGTAAAAAAGGTATCTGATAATCTCAAGTGATATTGGCTCAAGTCTAAATCTGCAGAATTTTTTTAGTAGCTTTTAGTAGCTTAGTAGTTTTGGTAGTAGAGCCAGGTACCATCTATTCTATACTTGTGCATTTGGTTTTTCTTGCTTAGATGTAAAACCTTACTTTTCTCTACATTGAATTTCATTTTGTTAGATAGCGCCCAGTGTTCAAGTCTGTCAAGATCCTTCTGTGTCTTGAGCCTATCTTCTGGAGTATTGGCAATTCCTGACAGCTTGGTGTCATCTGCAAATTTGATGAGTTCCCCATCTATCCCCTCATCCAAATCATTGATGAAGATGTTGAAGAGTACTGGGCCTAAGACAGAGCTTTGGGGTACCCCACTACATACTTCCCTCCATATAGATGCAGTTCCATTGAGGACTACATGTTGAGTGCAATCAATCTGATGGTAATGTTGTCTAACCTACATTTTTCTAGCTTATCAAGCACATTTATTGCTTGATTATCTTTTCTAGAACCTTTCCAGGTCAAAATAGGAAGCACTCTATCAAATCCTGTACCTGTTAATAGTGGTGTTCCCCAAGGCAGTGTTTTAGGTCCAACACTCTTCATACTTTACATAAATGACCTTTGCGATCATATTAAAGCAACTGTGTTCTCTTCGCTGATGATGTAAAACCATTCAACACCACCGACAATGCAACTACCCTTCAAAAAATTCCTTGACTATGTGTCAGATTGGTCTAACAAGTGGCAACTTCAAATCTCAACCAATAAATACACATTGGCAAAAAAAATCAAAACATAAAATACAAATTAGATGGACATGACCTTGTAGATGACCCTCACTCTGTCAAGGATCTTGGAGTACACATTTCTAAAGATCTAAGTGCCAAAGCCCACTGTAACAACATTGCCAAAAAGGCATTAAGAGTTGTTAACCTAATATTGCGTAGCTTCGTCTCTGGTAATATTGTACTACTAACTAGAGCATACAAAACATTTGCTAGACCTATTCTTGAATACAGCTCATCTATCTGGAACCCACACTGCATATTGGACATAAATACAATTGAGAGAGTCCAGAGATATTTTACGGGAAGAGTCCTCCATTCCTCTACCCGCAATAAAATACCTTATGCCACCAGACTTCAAATTTTGGGCTTAGAACTACGCCGACTTCAGTCTGACCTAAGCATAGTACATAAAATTATCTGTCACAATGTCCTTCCTGTCAATGACTACTTCAGCTTCAACCACAACAATACACGAGCAAATAATAGATACAAACTGAAGGTAAACCGCTCCAAACTTGATGGCAGAAAATATGACTTCAGCAACAGAGTGGTCAATGTCTGGAATTCACTACCTGACTCTGTGGTTTCTTCCCCAAACCCCCAAAACTTTAACCTTAAACTGTCTACTGTTGACCTCACCCCATTCTTAAGAGGTCTGTAAGGGGCGTGCATAAGTGCACCAGCGTCCCTACCATCCCTGTCCTAATATTCCTTTTTACTCTTACTCTTTTCATATATACAAATTATGTTTATACTTTTACCTGTTATCTTATATATGCTTGACAAATAAATAAATAAATAAAATAAATAAATAAAATTGATGTCAGGTTAATAGGTCTGTAGTTTCCTGGATCCAATTTTTTCCTTTTTTGAATATGGGAGCTACATCAGCTCTTTTTCATTCATTTGCTAGTGCCCCAATGCTTCAGGATCTTTGAAAGATGTGGTTTAGTGGTTTTGAGATCACATCTGTCAGTTCCTTCAGAACCTTGGGGTGTAATCCCTCTGATCCTGGTGATTTGAAGTCATCTAGTGTGGATAGGTGTTCTCTTGCTAATTTTGATTTGTATTCCTAATCTACATTTTAGAATATTTTTATAGATTGGGTTTTTTCCTTTATACAAAAGGAAGACAAATGCAAAAAATGAGTTAAGCAGCTTTCTCCCCGCTCCTCATCAACTTCTTGCCATTTTCTCCCATTAATGGACTAATCATTTCCTTGACATTTCCTTGCTTTTTTTAATATTATTTTTTATTATACAATTTTCTTTGTTATATATAAAAATTCCATATCCACAATGGCAGTATACAGACTGGGTATAATCTCTTTTAAATACAAATAATAAATCTTATACATACAATAGCTATAAGTATTATTCTCAAAATCTATTCACCATATTCTTCACATATCCTTATTAAACATTTTCCATTATTTAATTAAATGCTCTGTTCAGTTTTATCTATAATTAGTTAATAATGTCAAACATTATAAACATACAACTATCATATTTGTAACCATTATCGTCCAAATCTATTATTCATAATGTTTACATTATCCTCGTTATTCAATGCTCATTATTTAATTACACATTTACTTCATTTTTATTTACATATCCTCCTTAATTCTGAATTTCTAACTTCTGCTTCTATTTTCTAATCATTGGTAAAATAATTCCCAAGTTAAAAAGAATTCTGTTTCCTCCTTATCCTTAATTTTCAATGTTAATCTATCCATTTCAGCACATTCTAGTATTTACTTTATTACATTTTCCTCTATGAATATATTTTCATTTTTCCAGTTTTATGCATACACAATTCTCGCTGCTGTAACCACATGTAAAATTAAATATGTATTTCTTTTATTATACTTCTCTGGTAGGATACCCAACAAGAATATAATAAACCTTATACACACAATAATTTTAACTATTATTCTCAAAATCTATTTGCCATGGTCTTCGCTTATCCTTATTAAACATTTTCCATTGTTTAATTAAACGTTCTGTTCAGTTTTGTCTATAATCAATTAATAACAAACATTATAAACATCATGTAAACATCACATTTATAACCATTATCCTCCAAGTCTATTAATCATAATGGTCACTTATCCTAATTATTCAATATTCATTATTTAATTACAATTACTTCATTTTTGTTTACATATCCTCCTTAATTCTAAATTTCTAACTTCTGCTTTTATTTTCTAACCATAAATAAAATAGTTCCCAAGTTAAAAAAGTAATATTTTTCCCATTTCTAGTTTCTACCTCTATACTAATTCTTAACAGAACAACTCCTATATTAAACAGTATTCTGCATCTATCCCACATCTCTTGTCCGTTTTTGTATCTCATTTCTTATTGACTTCTTGATACCTCTCCCCGGCCAGTAGGTATCACTGTTACTCTTTTTCTCCGCTTTTGCTGCATATAAAATGCCTCCAAAAATATTTTCCAATAATTTTCCAAAGTCCTTCAAATCAAGGTGACAATAAAAGTATAATCCAGTATTTTGAAATGATTTAAATTGCTAAAAACTAGCCAATCCAATCTATCCTTTATCTTTAAGGTTACTTCTGTCTACAATTTCTTTTCTTTCTTTTCCAAATTTGAAAAGTAGCTTCAGGTCTTAGTCGTCGCTATTCACTTCAGTTGAGTCTCACTTTCCCAAGGGGATGTTTTTAGGAAAAATTCCAAAAGTTAGAAAATTCTTACCCAAACCGAGCACACTGTTACAGGATCTTTTCTTTCTTCTCTTCTGTTTCAGCTGTCATGGCTTCAGTTCAGCCATAATGGCCGTCTTCTCTTCTGCTGGTTAAAGGGGCTTTCTTTGGGTCAAACAAAAGATTGTGCTCTCCTCGTGACCACTGAAACATCCCCTACAGGCAGTGGTGGGATTCAACCAGTTCGCACCACTTCAGGAGAACCGGTTGTTAACTTTCTGAACAGTTTGGTGAACTGATTGTTGGAAGAAATCATTATGGCAGAGAACTGGTTGTTAAATTATTTGAATCCCACCACTGCCTACAGAGTATTCGTCACCCCTACAGGGTAACTTTCGGTCCCGCAGAACCTCCTGGCTAGAAGAATTTGGCAGGACTTTGCAGACCTGATTTCTAAGTTTATTGAAATCAGCTCTTTTGAAGTCTAAGACTTTAGTTTGACTTTTCTCTATTGCTTGAGCTTGCATAATGTAGAATTCCAATAATGCATGATCACTCCCCCCACAAGGTTCCTATAATTTCAACTCCTTCTATCATTTCATCACTGTTAGTGAGAATTAAGTCCAATAGGGCTGACCCTCCAGTTCCCTTCTCTACCTTTTGTGAGACAAAGTTGTCTACTAGGTTTTCAAGAATCTGTTTGATCTTCTATTTGGTGCAATCTATTTGATTTTCTACTGGCCTTTACTAGGGCTCACTAACTTTTTACTCCCAGCATCATTTATTTATTTTTAATAAGTTGTATTAGACCAAATTGCTTTTATTACTAACAGGAAAGCCAGAATTAATGTGAATATTAATAAAAGTTTTCTGTTATCAGGACAGCCATTTGACCCGTCAATGTACCTTACACATTTGGTTGGCAATGTAATCTGTGCTGCAGTATTTGGACATCGTTTTTCCACTGAAGATAAGGATTTTCTGGAACTGATTGAATCCATGCACAGTATTTCAAAATTTTTAATAAGCTTCTCCCACATCGTGAGTATTGTGGTCATTGTCCTTCTTCTTCCCTGAGTAGTGCAGAATTAGCCAGAAAAATGGACCATAGGAATTACCAGAATTGCATTTCACTAAATGAATTTTTCTTTTCCATTCTCAAATAGTAATATGTATATTGTTATTTTTTTTAAAGTTTTTTATTATTTTAAAACATAAACATAAAACACATCTTTTCAAGACAAAGCTCTTGATCCGGTCACAAATTCATACAAATCTTAATTTTCAATTAATACAACTTAATATTTTACTCAGTTATTTCCCTCAAATCTATTATTTAACTATGCCATTATTCCCAAAAACCCGTTACTTAAATCTTAACCAATTATCGTTCCCTTTTTCTTTTTCATTTGCTTAGATGGATATATTTTTAAAGTATAAATCATACAACTTTTATAAACATTCATAAAATATTGAATTCCAACATAATCATTTTATTCTTACTATTGAGCTCAACATTTATAATCTTTGTTCCTGTTATTAAACCTAACTTATTCATTTCATTTTAACTATTAATCTCAACATACTCCTCCTTATTTTGGCTATCCCACCTCATTTTATTTTTGCTATACAATCCAGCATCTTTATCTTTATCTTTATTGTTAAACCAATCATTTTTATTTCTTGGCTGTTAAACACAGCATAACCATTTGTTTTTGGCTGTTAAACAGAGCATATTCATTTTTGTTTCTTGGCCATTACACAGCATATCCATTTTTGTTTTGGCTGTTACACAGCATAACAATTTTTGTTTGGCTGTTAAACACAGCATACTCTTTTTTTTATGGCCGTTACACAGCATAGTCAGTTTTGTTTTATGGCTGTTACACAACATTGTCATTTTTGTTTGGCTGTTAAATACAGCATAGTAATTTTTGTTTTCTGGCTGTTATACAGCATATCTATTTTTATTTTTTGGCTATTAAACACAGCATAATCATAGTTGGTTTAACTATTGATCCCTTCTTAATCCTTTCTTTGTTGTTCCCATCCATCTATACATTGCTTATTTTCAGATAATCATATTTATCCTTATCCTTTTCCATAACAATTTAACATTGAGATATAGTTCTTGCTTAAGTCATATCTTTAAATATATTTATAAATTCCTTTTAACATTTTAAATTAATCATATTTATCCTTATTCTTTTTCATAACAATTTAACATTAAAACATGGTTCTTGCTTCAAACATATCTTTAAATATATTCATCAATTCCTTTTACAAAGAATTTCCATTTAACATTCTTAATTTCTATAAAAACCTCCTTTTTATTATTACAATCCACCTTTACATTATTTTATTTTAAATCACATTGTTTAAATCTCCTTTTTTCTTTTTCCAGTTGTGTTTATCTTACTTCTTCATTTCCTCGCCTGCAAACATATATTCCTTCCATTTTCAAAGTTTTCAATTTTGTCCTCCAGAAATCATATTAAATCTTTTTCTTATTTTTATTCTGGATATAATGTATCAAGTCTCCCTCTCTTAGGCCTGCACTTATTCCTTCTTTTGTTCCTGCACCAATTTTTAATTATTGTTGTTTCAACTATAGGAGTTCCATTATAGTTCCTTTTCTTTTCACCAAAATCTGTCTGCAGACAGGCATAAAAAACTCTTCCACAAAGTCCCACGGCTTTTATCTGTAGAACTCAGAATTTTCCATAACAAACAAAAAGTTACAAAGTTCCTTTTTAAACCAGATGGTGTCTCTCTACAATCCACATTTTCCATTAGTCATGCAAGCATCCATTTTGCACAATTCTTCTTTTAATTTTAAAAGTACCAATTCATACTTTTAAAAAAGTAGAAGTAGAATCTACTAAATTCTAAAAAGTAGAATCCAATTCGAATTTTAAAGTATCCAGTCTTTTTGCCATATCTCAATAATTAATTCCTTTAGTTCTGTACAAAAATTAGTTGTTTCTTGGGTATTTGTCTCTTTAAAGTTGCAGTTTAAAACTTTCCAAAGCCCCTTTGTTGCACAGCCGCTATTTTGGGCTAGAGATCTTCTAAGTAATAATATTGCTCCACACGTTGTTACAAGCCTGGGTTTGTTGTCACTCACCCAGCTTCAGAGAGCTCCATTTCACTCCGTTTTCCTCCAGCACTTTTCTTAGCCCGGTTGTCACAGCTTCGTGGCAGCCGCCATGGCTGCCTCCCCCCGCCGCCAGCTCACAGAGGGTTCCCTCTGACTTCCAAGGAACTTGCCTGATTCTCTTGGTCGTCCGAGGTGCCCCTCCTTTTCCCCCATCCCTGCAGGACGAATCTGGTCCGAAGACCCATCGGCGACGGTTCAGCAGCTGGGATTTTTGCGGGACTCATCAGAGCCCTCTATTTCCCCGACTGTCTTGCGGCAATGCCAAACCGGAAGTCTATGTATATTGTTATTTTTAAACTACTTGATCACTAAGCTTAAAGTTGAATGGGTGGCAGGAACTTTACTTCTCCAAATGCTTTGGGAATATAAATTGGAATGTTGGGTGGCAATATGTATTTAGAGACCTAACCTAGGATAGAAATTCTATACATTTATGTACTCAATTGTTGACGTTTGTTAAAATTCAACAATTGAATATCTGCCTATCATGGATTGTCTGCTTCCTCCTATATTCAAAACTTCATGGTGTTAAAATCAAAGAAACGTGTTCGGTGTCAGATATGGGACAGATCCAGGGGTGAAATGCTCCCGGTTCAGACCGGATCACCCAATCCGGTAGCGATGGCGGTGGGTGGTTCAGAGAACTGGTATCAAAAATCCCTGCGCCCCCCTCTCCCATACACAGCTGAGCCGCGCAATCATCAGAGACTGTTTTTTTTTACTTTTAAAAGCACTTTTTCTACAACCTCTTCGGCCGGAAAAAATGCTTTTAAAAGTAAAAAAAAAAAAAAAGCCTCTGATAATCGCACAGCTCAGCTGGGATCGTCAGAGGTTTTTCAAAGCATTTTCTTCTGCAACCCCTTCGGCCAAAGAGGTTGTAGGAAAAAAAATGCCTTTAAAAGCCTCTGGAGATCCCAGCTGACTTGCCTGATCGTCAGAGGCTTCTGAAGCATTTTTTCTGCAACCTCTTAAGGTTGTAGAAAAAATGCTTTTAAAAGTAAAAAAAAAAAAAAAGTTGGCCACCCCCACCCAGTCACATTACCACCACCACCACCACCACCACCAAGCCATGCCCACAGAACCGGTAGTAACCAATTTTAGATTTCATCCCTAGACAGATCATGAGGCTGAACTGGTAATTTATAGGAATTGATTTATCGTTCATGTGACCTGCTGTCTTATAACAGGACTTGCTTTCTCTTTCTTGTAGATTTATGAAATTTTTCCATTTATCATGAAATATCTCCCAGGGTCTCAGCAAAAAGCCTTGTCTGCTGTGGAGAATATAGTTGCTATTATAAAGAAAGAGATCACACATCATAAGGAGTACCCGAACCTGCATGAACCACAGGATTTTATTGATTATTATTTTCTCCAAATGGAGAAAGTAAGTACAGGTAGTCCTCAGGTTATGACCACAACTGAGCCCAAAATTTATGTTGCTAAGTGAAAAATGTGTTAACTGAGTTTTGCCCCATTTTATGACTTTTCTTGCCACATTTAAGTGGACTTTCTGGTTTTTCTTTGAAGCTGTTTCACTTCTCATTCAAGAAGCTTCTTCAGCTCTGACTGGATGGTGGGGAACAGAAGGATTTATACTCCTTACAGACAGCTGGTTATTTGCATTCTTTTAGTGGGTCATTAAAGTCACCTAAATGCTAAAAGGATGCAAATGACCAGTGGTCTGCATTACTGAGATTACTGCATTACTGAGATCAGTGGTGGGTTTCAAAATTTTTTACTACCGGTTCAGTGGGTGTGACTTGGTGGGCATGGCATGGCTTGGTGGGGGTGACTTGGTGGGCGTGGCAGGGGAAGGATACTGCAAAATCTCCATTCCCACCCCACTCCAGGGGAAGGTTACTGCAAAATCCCCATTTCCTCCTGATCAGCTGGGACCTGGGAGGCAGAGAATAGATGGGGTCGGGGCCAGTCAGAATTTTTACTACCGGTTCTCCGAACTACTCAAAATTTCCGCTACCGGTTCTCCAGAACTGGTCAGAACCTGCTGAAACCCACCTCTGACTGAGATGACATTACTTTGAGCTAATAAAAGAATATATAATGCAGTCCAGAAATAGGTTTAAAAAAGTATGGTGGGAAAGCGCAACGATGTGTCTAAATTATTCAAAATATTTAATTCCACTGAAGTTATCAAAATTGAGTCTATATTTCACAAATATGTCCCACTTTTATAAACACTCTCTCGCCTTGTTTCATCCTGATGGTTTGATTACAGCTTCAATCTCTACAGAGAAAATGGACCATGAACTAGAAAGGGGAAACAGTAGTTTGGGGAAGAAGTGGTAATAATAGGAAAATGTCTACAAATGACATTTCACCTTTCTCACTGTTAACTATAGAGCAAGAATGATCCAAATTCTACCTTTGATGAAGACAACTTGACTCATTGCATCGGTGACATCTTTCTTGCTGCGACAGACATAACTAGTGGTGTTCTGCAATGGGCATTGCTACTCATGGCAAACCATCTGGATATCCAAGGTGACAATAAAGTAGAATTTTTAATAGGGAACTGCAGTTCCTCTATGATGTTACAATATATATATATACATATATTTATATTTATATTTATATTTATATCTATCTATCTATCTATCTATCTATCTATCTATCTATCTATACACATTGCTCCTAGAAGCACGAAGCCAAAAACACCAGCCTGAAGATGACGAATGAGACTTCGTCGAAACATTGCCAAGACACCTCCAATTTTACGCGGGAGAAAACCCGAATAACCAAAGACCTATGTGTGTGTGTGTGTGTGTGTGTGTGTGTGTGTGTGTGTTTTCCTCTAGCCAGGTTTTTCCTATGTAACCAAGGTTTTTCTGCAGCCCTAGCTCAGTAGAATCACATCCACTCGATTCTGGGCTTTTTTTCTTTCTGGCAGCCAGCAAGAACTTGCTGCCTGGTGAGAGACTTATATAGATCTATTTCTGGCTCGTTAGCCATCATCAGTAAGCCACACCCACATCTCATGTATCCTCCCTGTAAAGGTACAATATCTATTTTCTTACTTCTTCATAGGATTTATGTGTATTTTTCCTCTAGCCAGGTTTTTCCTACGTAACCAAGGTTTTTCTGCAGCCCTAGCTCAGTAGAATCACATCCACTCGATTCTGGGCTTTTTTTCTTTCTGGCAGCCAGCAAGCTCTTGCTGCCTGGTGAGAGACTTATATAGATCTATTTCTGACTCGTTAGCCATCATCAGTAAGCCATACCCACATCTCATGTATCCTCCCTGTAAAGGTACAATATCTATTTTATTACTTCTTCGTAGGATTTATGTGTGTTTCCTGGCTGGCTGTTTCCTGGCCTGTTCCTCTTGGTCATCTGAGGTGCCCCTCCTTTTCCCCTGTCCCTACAGGACGGTTCCGGTCCAAAGACCCATCGGCGGCGGTAAAAGTACTTCTTCTCTAAATCCATGGAGTTGGGGATTTTCTTTTTTAGGATTTGAACAGAGGCAGACCTGACATACAATCTGAAGAAAAACCAAATTATTTAGAGGCCTTCTTCAGAGTGGGATACATCCAGATCTCTGGGAGGCAGCCAATCCAGAGAATGGATTGATAGGTGATGATGGTGGTGTTTTTCACACATTTATTTTCAGTCTTCCAACAATGAATGCTAATAATCCTTTCTTGCTCTCAGAATTTTACATTCCAGCTGACTTACTATTCAAAACTTCTTTAAGGGGAACCACATGGAATAATTCAGGTGGGAAAGTATCTCTCCACATTCATCTTATTTTCTGAGATAATTTATAAGGTCTTCAATAAAAGATACTTTTTTTACCCTTTTTCTCAGACAAGGTCTACAAGGAGATAGAAAAAGTTTTGGATCCATCTCACTCCATCTGTTATGCGGATCGGAAGAACCTGCCTTACACCAATGCTGTGATTCATGAGATTATACGAAGCAAATACATCACATTCTTTGGAGTACCAAGAAAATGTGTGAAGGATGTTTACTTCAATGGGTTTCTCATTCCCAAGGTGTGAATCTTTCTGAATTTAAGTATAACAGAACAACAGAGTTTGAAGGGACATTAGAGGTCTTATGGTCCAATCCTCTCCACAAGCAGGAGGCTCTACGCCAGGGGTCTGCAACCTTAAACACTCAAAGAGCCATTTGGACCTGTTTCCCACAGAAAAGAAAACAATGGGAGCCACAAAACCTGGGTGGGTGTGGCCAACTCGACATCACTCACTTCCACCAGTCACATGACCCCATAGCCATGCCTAACCAGCCAGTCATTAGGGCAGAGAACCAGTTGTTAAAAATCGCTGGGAACCACAAAACCCTTTTGACATATTTCTCTCTCTCTCCCCCTCCCCCCCCTCCCTCCCTCCCTCTCTCTGTATCTCTGCCCTGGCTGCTTCTCCATCTCCCACCGTTGCCCTTACCTTCTCAGGCCAGGTGAGGAGTGACTGGGAGAGGAGGATGAGGGGCAGAGCCAGCCAGTGGTGGGATCACCTGACAGGGAGCCACAGCAGAGGGCTCAAAGAGCCGCATGCGGCTCCGGAGCCACAGGTTGCTGACACCTGCTCTATGCCATTCTGGTCAAATGACTATCGAATCTCTTCTTTTAAATCTCCAGTGATGGATCAGCCACAACTTCCAGAGGCAAACCATTCCACTGATTGATTGTTCTAGCTATCAGGACATTACTCCTTAGTTCTAGGTTGGATCTCTCTTTGATAAGTTTCCATCCATTGCTTCTTGTCCTGCCATCAGGTGATTTGAATAAGAGGTTGACCCCTCTTCTTTGTGACAGTTCCTCAAATATTGGAAGACTGCTATCCTGTTACTCCTGCCCTTCTTTTTGTTAGACTGGACCAGGGGTGTCAAACTTGCAATGACACTTTGTCGTCACATGATGTATCGCTACTTTTTCCCCCTTTGCTAAAATGGGGATGGGCGTGGCCAGTGCATGACACATCCAGCCCGTGAGCTGCAAGTTTGACACCCCTGGAGTAGACATACCCTGTTCTGCAACTGTTCATCATACATTTTAGCCCACAGGCCCCTAATCATCTTTTAAGAGCTGGATGTATATATGTATCAGTGGTGACATGCTACCGGTTCGCACCGGTTCAGGCGAACCAGTAGTGATTAAAAACTACCAGTTTGGGAAACTGGTAGCAGGGGTGAAATGCTCCCGGTTCAGACTGGATCGCCCGATCCAGTAGCAATGGTGTCAGGTGGTTCGGAGAACTGGTAGCAAAAATCCCCAGCTGAGCCCCACAATCATCAGAGGCTTTTTTTTTACTTTTAAAAGCATTTTTTCTACAAACTCTTCGGCCGAAAAAATGCTTTTAAAAGTAAAAAAAAAGCCTCTGATGATCACGGGGCTCAGCTGGGATCATCAGAGGCTTTTAAAAGTATTTTTTCTACAACCTCTTCGGCCGAAGTGGTTGCAGGAAAAAAATGCCTTTAAAAGCCTCTGGCGATCCCAGCTGAGTTGTCTGATCGTTAGAGGGTTTTAAAAGCATTTTTTTCTGCAACCTCTTGAGGTTGTTGTAGAAAAAATGCTTTTAAAAGTTTTTTTAAAAAAATGTTGGCCATGCCCACCCAGTCACATTACCCCCCCCCCACCAAGCCACGTCCACAGAATCGATAGTAACAAATTTTACATTTCACCACTGACCGGTAGTAAAAAAAAGCTACCAGTTCCTTCGAACTGGTATTTCCGATGATCAGCAGGAAATCCTGCTTTCTAATGAATCTAAATTGCGCGGCTCAGATGTTCCTCTGACCCACCCACCTCCCCCGCTGTTCTAGTTACCTTCCCAAGTCTCATTTTTCTGCACGAAGTGCACATTTTTTAAAAAATTCTTTTAATCAGTCTGTGATTTCTTAACTTTCGGGCCAAAATTTATATATATTTTTAAATTTGTATTCTATGTTTTTTATCTTGGCTGTACACCGCCCTGAGTTCTCAGGGAGAAGGGCGGTATATAAATTGGAAATTAAATTAAATTGGAAATTAAATTAAATTAAATTAAATACTGTGAATGCCCATACGCAGCGCGTGCTTGGCACACACCACACATACACGGGCAGCAAACTGGTGACAAGCCAGGGAAGATTTCACCACTGATATGTATGCCCTGTTGAACTTCCACTGTTTGCTAATACTTTGTTGGAACGCAGTCTTTAGATCAAAGTGATCCACTTGCTGTTATGCTGAGGGTGTCTTTCAAGGAAGAATGTATGAATGCCGGTTTTGACAAACTTCTGATTTATCACACTAGGCCAACATCCAAGCCAAAGCTTTCTTCCAGTAGCTCACCTGAGAAGTTTCAATGCCTTATTGTCATGCTTCTTTTAAGTATACCCCACTCAGTGGGCTCCATCACACAAAAGAGTCAAGCCAACAACAAAAGACCTTACGCAACACACATATTAGCACTCATAGACCAGCACTCACTGCTCACTACTCCACACTTCCCCACTACACCACCTCCTTCTACTGCTCCTCCACATACTACTGGAGAATAATATATTTCTGCCCATTTTAGGCTACTTCAGGCTGCTTTATTTCCTCCGACAATCACACTACCACAATCTGCCTCTCTGCTCAACTTTTATAGCCAACAGTTGCTATTTTGACTAGGGAGAGACCTCAAAGGGACAGCAACAGCACTGGCCCTTTTTAAAATATATATATATATTTTATTATATATATATATATATATATATATGTAGGTCTTTGGTTATTCGGGTCTTCTCCCACGTAAAATTGGAAGTGTCTTGGCGACGTTTCGACGAAGTCTCATTCGTCATCTTCAGGCTGGTGTTCTCGGCTTCGTGCTTCCAGGAGCAATGCTGAATTCCTTGCTCCTGGAAGCACGAAGCCGAGAACACCAGCCTGAAGATGACGAATGAGACTTCGTCGAAACGTCGCCAAGACACTTCCAATTTTACGTGGGAGAAGACCCGAATAACCAAAGACCTACATACAAACACCCGCGAAAACCTGAGAAAACATATATATATATATATATATATATATATATATATATATATATATATATATATATATATATATATATATATATATATATATATATATATATATATATATATATATATATATATATATATTATTTAATAACTGCACCGTCTGAGCATTTCCTGCATAGGCAGACATTCTAAACAATTGTGTTTAAAATTAAATCCCCTTTATCTGTTTACCCACAACCTAAAGCCATTTTTGAAATTTTACATCTAATATGAAATTAAACATTAAACCATGTTTTAAGCACATGTCCAGCTAATTCAAATAAAATATTCCAAGACAATTTCCCTTTTATCATTGCTGGTGGCTTAGAAATGACCACTTGTATTTGCTGTAAGGTAGGCTAGTTTCAAGGCTGTTACTCAAAGTAGACCTTATGTTAGAACTTTGATTGGGAAAATTGGCACTACCACCGAAGACTTTGAGGAGACAAATTATCTCAATGGAGGGTAAAGCTGGCCTGTTCATAGTCCCCATTTGCCCCTCAGCTGCTTCCATGAAGAGATGGGAGTCAAAGCGAAAAGGCAGATTAGTTATTTCTAAAAGTAATAAATGCAGGGTACAAATTAAGAAATAAAAAGGGAGCTTGCAGAAGTAGCCTGCAGATTAAGCCCAGGGAGCGCTTGAAGAATTTATTTTATTAACATTAGATTAGATTTTTATTATTTATTTTTATTATTTTATTGCCTTTATTATAAGTAACTCAAGGCAACAAACATACCAAATATTCCTTCCTCCTATTTTTTCCCACGACAACAGCCGTGTGAGATGGTTTGGGTTGAGAGAGTTTGGCTCAAGGTCATGCAGCCAGCTTTCTTGCCTAAACTGGGACTAGAACTCATAGTCTCCTGGTTTCCCAGCCTAGCACTTTAACCGCTACAAAAAACTGACTACCTGAATATGCCTAAATATATACCTGAAACATGCAAGGAACAGAAATAGGATTATACAGAAACAAACGAGATTGTCTAGATTTTTCCATTTGTTTCTTTCTTCATTATAGGGAGCTATGATTTTACCAGACCTGCGCTCTGTTCTTCTTGATCCTGAACAATGGGAGACGCCTGAAAAATTCAACCCCAACCATTTTCTGGACAAAGAAGGACATTTTGTCAAAAAAGAAGCATTTATGCCCTTTGGAGCAGGTAAATATGCAGGTTTCTTTTTCTTTTGTAAAAACAAAAAAAAATGTGTAGGTTTCTTTTGCTTGTAAGGAAAGAGATTGCATTTGAAAGTGGGCAAAATAACATGGGGATTTGGGGAAAGGTAAATTAAGAAGCTTCTTTTCCATTATACATAACTGGATCAATGGAGGGGGGGAACGCAAGAAAACTGAAAGAAACATTTAGTGATGCAAATTCCCCTGATGTTAGATTAATCTAAGTAAAACTCAGGAATGCATATAGCTATTTTAGCTCCAGCCAGTGACTGTGTGGTTAATCCTTGATTTTAGTAATTTTTATTTCTCCTAAAATGAGAGAAAAGTCCCAGAGAGATTCTTTGAAAAATGAGGCCCCCGTACTCTGTATCTTATGGATCCTCTCTCTATCCTCATCCCCAGAGCATCTGGCAGGGTTAAAAAAGAGCAGAAATACAGTACCTCCATAGTGGGCCCAAATGATGATTCTGCAATGGCCCTGGACTGTATGCTTCCTCTTAATTTTTGTTTTAAAAAATGGTCCCAACTTGAAGAAAAGGGAGGAAAAGATAAGTGGATCAGGAAATGAGGGCTTCCTTGCAGGGGTGAAATCCAGCAGGTTCTGACAGGTTCTGGAGAACCAGTAGCGGAAATTTTGAGCAGTTCAGAGAACCAGCAAATACCACCTCTGGCTGGCCCCAGAATGGGGTGGGAATGGGGGATTTTGCAATATCCTTCCCCTGGAGTGGGGTGGGAATGGGGATTTTGCAGTACCCTTCCCCTGCCATACCCACCAAGCCACATCCACCAAACCACGCCCACCAAACCACACCACGCCCACCAAGCCAATCCCACAGAACCGGTAGTTTAAAAAAATTGGATTTCACCACTGCTTCCTTGTATATTTACTACAGCTGGGGAATGAGCATCTGAGGTACTGCAGTCACCACTATCAGACCTCACCATCCTGAGTCAAGGGCTGACAGTGTTTGATATCCAAGGACAGTGACTTAGAAGAAGACAGCTGGTTGAGCCAGGAAAGGTTCAAGAAAGAATTAGAGGAAGCTACTCAAATCGCACCTATAAATGGGATCCTTCTGTCCCTAAAGCCTGTATGGTGAGGTGTGGGGAAAAGAGTTCTGCAAAGCAAAGCAATACAAATGTATGAATTATTGCTTTTTAGGGAAGCTAATCCAACCATCTGCTCTTAATTATTAGATATTTATTTATTTATTTATTTATTTATTTATTTATTTATTTATTTATTTATTTATTTATTTTTTAATGCCATTTCTCCTATAAGGTGACTCTATCCTATAAGGGGATTTCCCCTAAAACTGCTTCCTTAATCATAATAATCATCATCATCATAAGTTTATTTGTCAAGCATATATAAGATAACAGGTAAAAGTATAAACATAAAATGAATACATGAAAAGAGTAAGTAAAAAGGAATATTAGGACAGGGACGGTAGGCACGCTGGTGCGCTTATGCACGCCCCTTACAGACCTCTGAGGAATGGGGTGACGTCAACAGTAGACAGTTTAAAGTTAAAGTTTTGGGGGTTTGGGGGAAGAAACTACAGAGTCAGGTAGTGCATTCCAGGCATTGACCACTCTGTTGCTGAAGTCTTATTTGAAAATGTAGGGATACAAAACCATATATTAGATTGCTACAACTTGTTGGAAAGGGGATTTGAGAAAAATAAAAAGCAATGCATCTGCTGAAGCATGTTAAAATGTGGATAAAGCCTCCTTCCTCTTTCTTGAGACAAATGTGCTAGTCTCAGTTAAGGATTTCTCCTGATAGGGTATGGAAGAGGAGTCAGCTCCTGGAAAAGTCTCAGCCTAAGATAGTTCTGTCATGTGGACTATTCTAATGAATGTTAATGAGTAAATGAGTAAAATAATAATAAAATAAAAGTTAAAATAAATAATAATAAAAGTTAAGATTGCCGGGGGAAATATCAACAACCTCAGATATGCAGATGATACCACTCTAACGGCAGAAAGCGAAGAGGAACTAAAGAGCTTTTTGATGCGGGTGAAGAAGGAGAGTGCAAAAGTTGGCTTGAAACTCAACATTAAGAAAACTAAGATCATAGCATCTGGCCCTCTCAATTCCTGGCAAATAGATGGGGAAGAAATGGAGGTAGTGACATATTTTATTTTCCTGGGCTCCAAGATCACCACAGATGGGGACTGCAGCAGTGGTGAGTTGCCCCCAGTTTGCACCGGTTCTATAGAACTGGTAGTAAAACCGGTGGGAGGCTCCACCCACCGACCCCGACATCATCAGAACGCTTCTGCGTATGTGCAGAATAGCATGCGTGTGGTCCCGTTGCAAACCGGTAGTAAAGGTAAGTAGAACCCACCCCTGGACTGCAGCCAAGAAATTAAAAGACACTTACTCCTGGGGAGGAAAGCTATAGCAAATCTAGACCGCATACTAAAAAGCAGAGACATCGCCCTGCCAACAAAAGTGCGTATAGTCAAGGCTATGGTTTTCCCACTTGCAATGGATGGCTGTGAAAGTTGGACCGTAAGAAAGGCTGAGCGCCAAAGAATTGAGGCCTTTGAACGATGGTGCTGGAGAAGACTCCTATGAGTCCCTTGGACTACAAGGCCATCAAACCGGTCAGTCCTAGAGGAGATCAACCCTGACTGCTCTTTAGAAGGCCAGATCCTGAAGAGGAAACTCAAATACTTTGGCCACCTAATGAGAAGGAAGGACTCCTTGGAGAAGAACCTAATGCTGGGAAAGATTGAGGGCAAAAGAAGAAGGGGACGACAGAGAACAAGGTGGCTGCATGGAGTCACAGAAGCAATGAGCATGAGTTTAAATGGACACTAGAGGATGGTAGAGGACAGGAAGGCCTGGAGGAACATTGTCCATGGGGTTGTGATGGGTCAGACATGACTTCACAACTAACAACAACAACAAATGAGTAAAAAACAGTGGCTACAAAAGTGGTTATTAATATAGAATTGCACTAATCAGTTCCTGCTGGTGTCTTCCCACCAACATCTAGTTTCCACAATAGAAACAGAAGCTTGGACTAGGTAAGCCTTTGGTTTAAACAGATACATCTTTGTTTTATGAAATTTATTGTAACTATCCAGCCAGGCAGACTACATTCCTGTTAATTGGTATGGAATTAGAGAGTGAAGTAAGACTTACTCCACCAGTTTGAGATACCTTTTTTGGATTGTTGCTAAATGTGGTAAATGGTCAATGAACAGGCAGTAAAAATTGCTACTATTCATTTTGTGTTTTTATTTCATTTTCACTGTAGGTGGTCGGGTCTGCTTGGGGGAACTCTTTGCAAGGATTCAGTGCTTCATTATGTTCGCCAGCCTACTGAGGGCATTTAGATTGCAACCTCCAGAAGGAGTGGAGAAACTCAGTGAAGAACCAGTAACAGGAGTGACTCTGCTTCCCTCTCCTTTTAAGATCTGTGCTGTTCCTCGCTCTGGAGCACCATAGAAGGGAAAAATGACTAAATGTTTATTTCATTCTACAGACCTTTTTCTATTTCAAGTATCTGTCACACCAGTATTGAAAAGTCAAGGATCTGTCACACCAGTCATGAAAAGGTTAATTTTTGAATTGGCACTGGAAATAAACCCTTACCCTGATAAATTGCCAGAATTTTTTTTTTAAAAGCAGCTAAAACTGGGTATTGAGTTGCTATTCAGTTTAACACTCTGTATATAAATTTGGATATTGTTATTTTATACATACGTAGTGCCACCCCTGAAAGGGCTGCTAGAGTCCATATTCCTCTACTCCCATTCTACAGTACCCAGGCTCTTCCCCGCTACACAGCCACTGGCCAGGTGTCTCAATGTCCATTGTTCTGGACATCAGTCTGCTCTGATCTCTCACCCAGCTCAGGTCACACCTCCCTGTTTTATTCCAAGATGGCGCTGCCGAAGCCTGCCTCTGTGAAATGCTCCCTAATGGTTTCTTTATTTTTTATTATTCTCTGTGACTCACTACGGATTTCATACTCATGAGACCACCTGCTAAGAATTAAGCAATGTTTCTTTAAGGAGCAGCTTTCTTTGATCTCTCTCTCTCACACACACACACACACACACACACACACACACACACACTGTCTTTACAAATGCGGAGGAGATCCTAACACAGGAAGAAGCAATTTCCCCGGAGCTATGGATTACCAAAACAAAAACCAGACGGAGAGGTAAAAGGGTGGGAATTTTAAACAGGCTAAGGAATAGGGGAAATAGAACTGCTCTGCCTTCAATCTTCCTGACAAATTTACATTCACTTGCTAACAAGATGGGTGAAATACTCCTTTTAAACAGACGCAACTCTGATTTTCACAGAGTGAAAATGCTTTATTGAAACCTGGTTACATAATGATATTGATGACAACAGCATGCAAATTCCAGGGTTTCAGATATATAGAGCAGACAGAATTGCAGAGTCATCAGGTAAAAAGAAGGGAGGAGGCTTATGCTTATATATCAATAACAGCTGGTCTCAGGATATAACTATAATATATAAATTCTGTGATGAAAACCTAGAGACATTAATTATCAACTGCAAACCATTCTATTTGCCTCGTGAATTTTCCTTATCTCTTCTAATTGCTGTTTATGTCCCACCACAAGCCTGTGTAAACAAGGCATTATGAACTCTAGCTGACCAAATTATGGAGGCTGAAGCCAAATACCCCAATTCACTGGCCATTATTTTGGGAGATCTAAACAAGACAAACTTAAGGAAAGAGCTACCAAAATACTTTCAGCATGTCAATTGTCCCACTAGAGGCAAGAATACTTTAGACCATTGCTACACAACACTAAAAGATGCTTATTTAGCAGCTGTGAGACATTCTGATCATTGCAGGATTCACCTTGTACCTGCTTACAGGCAAAGATTTAAAACCACAAAACCAACAATTAAATCAGTGAGGACCAGGACGGGAGGAGGCAAAGTTAAAGCTACAGGCCTGCCTTGACTGCACTGATTGGAATGTTTTTGAAAGTACCTCTGCAGACTTAGATGAACTCACAGAAACTGTAACATCATATGACAGCTTCTGTGAAGACCTATGTGTACCGACCAGGAACTTGCGAATATACAGTAACAACAAACCTTGGTTCACAGCTAAACTTAAGCAGCTACATCGTTCCAAAGAGGAAGCCTACAGAAAAGGTGATAAAATGACTGCATCTGAAACGATCCATTTGTTAAACTACTGAAGTTCTCAGATGACACAACAGTGATCGGTCTCATTCGAGACAATGATGAATCTTCATACAGACGGGAGGTTGAACAACTAGCCTCGTGGTGTGACCAGAACAATCTGGAACTGAACATACTCAAAACCGTAGAAATGGTGATAGACTTTAGGAGAAACCCTTCCATACTTCCACCTCTCACAATACTAGACAACACAGTATCAACAGTAGAGACCTTCTAATTTCTAGGTTCTACCATATTGCAAGATCTAAAATGGACAGCTAACATCAAAAACGTCATCAACAAAGCACAACAAAGAATGTTCTTTCTGCACCAACTCAGAAAGCTCAAACTGTCCAAGGAGCTGCTGATCCACTTCTACAGAGGAACTATTGAGTCTGTCATCTGCACCTCTATAATGGTCTGGTTTGGCTCTGCCACCCAACAAGACAGACACAGATTTCAGAGGATAATTAGAACTGCAAAAAAAACCCAATTGCTACCAACCTGCCTTCCATTGAGGACCTGTATACTGCACATGTCAAAAAGAGGGCTGTGAAAGTATTTACAGACCCCTCACATCCTGGACATAAACTGTTTCAACTCCTACCCTCAAAATGACTCTATAGAGCACTGCACACCAGAACAACTAGACACAAAAACAGTTTTTTCCCCGAATACCATCACTCTGCTAAACAAATAATTCCCTCAACACTGTCCAACTATTTACTAAATCTACACTACTATTAATCTTCTCATCGTTCCCACCACCCATTTCCTTCCACTTATGACTGTAATTTTGTTGCTTGTATCCTGATTGCTTATTTGTAACCTATGACTATCATTAAGTGTTGTACCTTATGATTCTTGACGAACGTATCTTTTCTTTTCTGTACACTGAGAGCATATGCACCAAGACAAATTCCTTGTGTGTCCAATCACACTTGGCAAATAAAGAATTGAATTCTATTCCATTCCATTCCATTCCATTCCATTCCATTCTATTCTGTCCGCTGGGGTGTCTGGTGCCCCTGGTTCACTGGCTTGGTCACTCATCTGGATCAGTTCACCTCTGTTGCATCTGGCACCCCCTCTGATCACAGGCTCACTCACTCACCTGACCTTCTACCATCTCCCCTCCCTTTCAGAATTCCAGCCAACTCCCTCCTCTAAAGTCTTCCTGCCAAAAACTGACAGATTTCCCTTCTCTCCTTTCCCATCTCTTTCTCCCTCAGCCAAAGCTCCAGGGCTCGGGGCCTCCCCCACTATACATATTTTTAAAAGAAAAAAATTAGAAGATCACAATCTTTTTCTAGCCTCATTAAGGCGTCTCACTTTCACAATCGTATGAAGCAAAATGAACATAGTATTCCTCAGCTTACAATGGGAATTGAGCTGTGGTGAAATCCAATTTTTTTTACTACTGGTTCTGTGGGCGTGAAGTCTAAAGTTTATATGACTTCTCCAGTACTTAATTCTGAGGAGGCCTTAACTAGGGATAAAAACAGGCTGTACCCCCTCCCTCATCTTGTCATTTCTTCTCTTCTTCAGTTTCCAACCAGCCATCTATTGGACACAGCATTGGAACAGCTCTTTCAAGTTATCTGGAATGCCTTCTCTCACCAATTCGTTCCTCAACAATTCTTCTTGAAATTAATTAATTATTGCCAAATAATTCTACTCCAGGTGTCTGGGAAATCTTTCAAAATAAGATGTGTATCTATTAACTATACAATGACCTTGTTTTAGCTTGTGACTCTGATCTCCTCTAAACCTCTCTGGCAAACTCCCATGTGAGCACAGAAATACCTAAGGGTAGTTAGCTGGTGTGCTGCTGTGGATGGACAAACCTTGCCCTACTTCTGAAGTAGTTTCATCATGGCATTTTGCAAGTTAGCTATTTGCAAATCCACATGTTGCTGATATTGCAATAAAGCAGCAGGAAGAGCTTGGGCTGCTCCAAGGTCATCCTTGTGACTTTGAAATATCTTCCATATTGGGATATAACCATTTATAATTTTTTATTATAAAATTATTACCCGTATTTTCCGGCGTATAAGACGACTTTTTAACACATGAAAATCTTCTCAAAAGTCGGGGGTCGTCTTATACGCCGGGTGTCGTTCTCCTGTAACCAGGCAGACCAGCCCAAAAGACTCTGACGAGCCTTAAATGGCTCTGGCGATCCAAGCTCTGACGATCCCAGCTTTGCCTGCTAATCAGACAACTCAGCTGGGATGCCAGAGCCATGTAAAAGGAAAGAGGCGTTGGACTTACCGTGAATGCTCTTTCTCCGGGGGCTGCGGAGTGGGTCAGGAGTGGGTCAGGAGTGGGATGATACAGTCAGTCTGACCAATTACTGAGTCAAATTGCTTTGGCCACGCCTCCTCAGCCCTCCATTGCTTCCAGTTTGTTCGATGAAGGCAAATCTAAAAGACATGCTCCAACAATAGTTAGTCAAAAAGGATATGTCGCAGGTGGGAGGGGCTGACCCACTCCGCAGCCCCCAGAGAAAGAGCGTTCACAGTAAGTCCAACGCCTCTTCTCCCAGTAGGCTGCGGAGTGGGTCAGGAGTGGGCTGCGGAGTGGGTCAGGAGTGGGACATACCCAAGCTCGTCAGCCCTACAGGTGGGAATCCTGCGACCTAGAAGGCCTCGGTGCCAGGTGTACCTGTTGGAGAACCCTCCTGCCAAAGGAAGCCTCCGCAGAGGCGTACACATCCAAACGATAATGTTTAATAAAAGGGACAGGAGTAGTCCAGGTAGCTGCCTGGCAAATGTCCTCGAGAGAGGCCTGCGTGGCCCAAGCAGCGGTGGTAGATGCACTGCGGGTGGAATGAGCAGTGATGCACCTCGGAGGGACAAGGGAACATGACTCATAAGCTCGTGCAATACAAGCATGAATCCAACGGCCAATAGTGGCCGAGGAAGCTTTGGATCCCAACGAGGCAGGTTGAAAAGAGAGAAAAAGTGCCTCAGAACGTCTGGATGGAGCTGTCCGCGACTTGTAAATCTTAATAGCCCTGTGGACATCCAGTGTGTGCCACTTGAATTCTAGACGATGGGAAGGGTTGGGGCAGAAATTAGGAAGGATGATTTCTTGTTCCCGGTGAAATCTGGAATTAATTTTAGGTACGAAGGCAGGGTCCAAATGGAGGACAACTCTGTCCGGGTGGACGATACACAAATCAGGCCTGATAGAAAGGGCCGCTAGTTCTGATATGTGGCGGGCCGACATGATGGCTACCAGGAAGGCAACCTTCAGAGTAAGGAACCTAAGGCTTGCTGTACGTAGAGGCTCAAATGGAGGTTCGGTAAGTGCCTTCAACACCTGCGGCAAGTCCCAGGTGGGATATCTGTGAATCACAGGTGGGTGGAGATTCCGAACTCCCCGTAAGAATTGTCTGATGGAAACATGGGATAACG